CCACTGAGGCTGCGTTTGGGAATAGCTGGCAGGTGAGTTGCACAGAAATGAGGGGCTGGGGGAGGCACAGTTGAGCCTGAGTGTCAGGCAGCCCTCTGGTAAGGAAAGGGGGGGTTGGGCTTTGGGGCTTTCAGGAAGGTTTGGAGTCTTCTTGCCTGTTACAGTGCTGGGTGGGGTGGGCCTGTTGGAAGGGATCTCATCAACTGAATCCCCAAGACCTGCTTCATCACTCACTGACTCTAAGTCTTGGACAAGACACCTAACAAGACGCTTACTTTTAAGGAAAAGTAGCTGATGCTTTCTTTGCTGTTCTTGTAAGAAGTTTTTGAGGCTAAAACAAAACATCTGGTGCAAAGCACTTGGAAGAACATAGCATACGGAGGTCAGCTGCCAGTGGATGCTGTCATATCAGGGCCGCTTTCCCCACCTAGGTCCCAGAGGGCCCAGGACCTGGTCGGCCCTGTTCCAAGGGCCGTGAGGTGGATCCATGCCGGGCAGCAGGGTACCGTGCCAGGCGTGAGGCCAACGCCCGGTGTGCAGTGCTGAAGTCTGCCCCGTTCAGCCGCTGCCATGCTGTGGTGCCACCAGACCCCTTCTTTGCCGCCTGCGTGTATGACCTCTGTGCTTGCGGGCCCGGTTCCTCTGCTGACACCTGCCTCTGTGATGCTCTGGAAGCCTATGCCAGCCACTGTCGCCGTGCAGGGGTGACACCGGCCTGGCGGGGCCCCACACTCTGTGGTGAGGGGGCAGTGCCCAGGGCAAGCTGGGGGAGGGGGTGACACGGAGGGCTCAGGTCTGGACAGGGAAGGTTCAGGGAGGGTCACGGGGTTGGTGGGGGAGCCTGGAGACTGGACGGTGACCCTGCCTTCCACTCCGTCCGCAGTGGTGGGCTGCCCCCTGGACCGTGGCTTCGTGTTTGATGAGTGTGGCCCACCCTGTCCCCGCACCTGCTTCAACCGGCACATCCCCCTGGGGGAGCTGGCAGCCCACTGTGTGCGACCCTGCATCCCCGGCTGCCAGTGCCCAGCGGGCCTGGTGGAGCACGAGGCCCACTGTATCTCACCCGAGGCCTGCCCCCCAATCCTGCTCACTGGGGACCAGCTGCCCAGCCCTCCGCTCAACCCCAACCGGGAGCCCCAGGGGCCAACCTGAGCCAGGACGACACCAACCAGGACTCACCGGACATGAAGTCTCCCCTTGGCGAGCACGTCTCACCCTACCTGGGTGCTGGGAGGCTGGGCGTGGCTCCCACAAAGACCCCAGCTATGTTGCATCACAAATAGTAAACTTAGGGTCCAGCCTAAGGTTTCCTTGTGTGTATATGTGCTTCTTCCCTGTGCTGGGGTGGTGGTGAGGGGGGCTGTTTGGAACGTGGGGTCCAGAGATCAGTGTCCCAGAATTGGGGTGGTGGCAGCTGTGGGGACTCGGACCCGGACCTTACACACTCTCTGAGCCTGCATCCCTGGGCTGCCCTGCCTGCCACACCCTGGGCTGCCTGGGAAACCCTGCTGTGGGCAGGAGGAGGACCCAGGAGTCCCATCCCAGCCCTGTGCTTACATGTCGTAGGCACAGCCTGTGGCCCCGCTGCGGGGGCTTCTGTGGGTCCTTGTGCAATCGTGCAGGGGCTGAGGAGCCCGGAGAAGGCTCTCAGTCCCCATGTTGCATCCCCTTTCCTCGTGGTTTTGGGGATATTGAGAGCTCAGGCACCCTGTGGGCCACTCTAAGATCTGGTGACAAAGGGACCCCGAGCCTGGGGTGAGGAAGAGGAAAGACAGTATGTATGTGATGACATGCAGACCCATGATGGACCACACACACACCTCTCAGAAGCCCAGATAAACCCACGCACGTACTCTGTGTGTGTTCACAGCTACACCCACCCCTGATGGACATGGGGGCAGGGGACACATGTGTAACTTTCAAAGACATCCTTATAGGGAAAAGAACTTGGAGTCTGAAATTGAAAAAAAAAAAAATCTCCTTTTTTGACAAGGGAAGTCTCTTTTCAAAGAGAACTCTGAGTTCTCTCTGCCACCTATCAGTTATGTGATCTTGATATTTTAGGGACCTTAGCCAAAAAATTGGGGTTGGGGGACTCAGTTCTCTTGATGGGGCCCCCAGTATTCCAACAGGGTTGAAGGCAGGATATTGGGCTGAACTGAGACCCCATGCCTGCTTGTTCAGCCTGCTTCCGCTGGGGCCCCTTTCACGGAGCTGTTACAAGACGTAGGCAGGCCAGGATACTTCTGACAGCAGGGGAAGATGACAGACCATCCCATATGTGTCCTCACCCGCTTTATCTCCTGTGTTGTGGGGAATAAACAGAGTGACCACGGACAGTTTGGAGCAAGCATTAGGGAAGTGCGTTATAGCTCACACTTGGGACCACATCTTCCCGGAGCCTGTTTCTTGGGCTGTGTGTCTCCAGATGAGGGAGACAATGCCCTGTGTTAGTTAGGGCAGCTTACTCTCTGGGGCCTGGTCTTCTCATCTGTGAAGTGGGGATGAAGATGATACCAGTTACTTCATAGAGTTGCTTCAAGGAAGGATCACACGTCCACAGCAGCGTCTTGTGTCCTGGCATACAGTAAGCTGTTAGGAACTGCTGCCTGTTTGGGCATATTGTTCAATCGCTAAGTCATGTCTGATTCTTTGAGACCCCATGGACTGCAGCACACAAGGCTTCCCTGTCCTTCACCATCACCGGGAATTTGCTCAGACTTATGTCCATTGAGTTGGTGATGCCGTCCAACTGTTTCATCCTCTGTTGTCTCCTTCTCCTGCCTTCAATCTTTCCCAACATCAGGGTCTTTTCCAATGAATTGGGTCTTCGCATCAGGTGGCCAAAGTATTGGGTATATATCACAACTATAATGCAGTTGCAACCTTCGTATATACAGTTTGGGGTGTTTTTTTTTTTTTAATCTGCATGCTATTTTACTTCCATTAGAAAAACATTATCTCTGTAAAATTTGGTCCAGTTTCTTCTCCTTTACCACATTCAAACTTTAATTTTACTCAAGTAAAAGCAGAATCACAGATCTGACATAACAAAATAGTTCACATCATTAAATTAAGAGTTTAATTGAATTAGATGTGCTCATTCTTATTTCCTGAGGAATAGTAACTCATCTTTCCTACATGTTATTTCCTTCTGCTTTTATTTTTCTGAGTTAAGTAAGGCATGTCTGTTTTCCCACATCCAGCAATACAAGTGTTATAGAAGTGTAATTTATAATATTGGTAACTAGATTCATCATTAATCTTCAATTCATGTTCAGTTCCCCTTATTTCATAGTACATGGTATTGTATTTTCCTAATATTTCAACCTTAAACTTGAAAGGTTGTTTCTGAATCACGCAAAGACGCCAGGGTTCTTGGCCTCCGGAGGAGAATAATTCAATCCTGGGCCAGAGACGAGGCTGGATCACTCAGAGCTTTTGTGCAATAAAGTTTTATTAAAGTATAAAGGAGATAGAGAAAGTTTCTGACATAGACATCAGAAGGGGGTAGAAAGAGTACCCCCTTGCTAGTGTTAGCAATGGAGTTATATACTCTCTAATGAATCCAAAGAATGTCTGGAGGTTGTAAAGACCTCACCAGACCTACTCCCATAATTTACATTTTAAAATAACAGAGTTGGCCAGAAGGTTTAATCCAAAGACTGTCCTCAGGCAGGATACATCCTTGTAAAAACCAGACCTACTCCCATAATTTATGTTTTAAGATAACAGAATTAGCCAGAGGGTTTAATCCAAAGACTGTCCTCAGGCAGGATACATTATTGTTATATAATCCTAAGGAATGTAAAGGAAAAAAGTAAAAAGTTTGTCCTTTCTTCCTCCTTGAATATTCCAGACCTCTCTCTCCTTGGGGACCCCCAGACTTCTTATCAACCTGCCTAGGAAATGACTCTCTCACACTCTCCAACAAAGATTAAGCCATTAGTTTAAAAATATTAAAATTCCAGACTAAATAACTAAATAACTGGGCCCACTTAGAATCATGCTATTCCAAGAGGTCCTTGCACAGCTATTTCTTTGCTCTCAACACAGTCTCCTTTGGGCAAAGCAGCAACCTGGTAAGCAGCTCAAGCAGGAAAACTACTCTGGAAATATTGTTTGTGGATGTCATTGACAGTATTGAAGTCATTTATGTCAGCCAGCAAAACAGTTGTTTTACCACATACGTGAAGCCGCAGCCTGCTGATTTCAGAATTTCACCCATGTTTTTAAGAGCCTGTTTAGTCTCTTCTGCCACCCCTCCTGGCACAAGCTCTCCACTTGCAGGGTCCATGCCTAGCTGTCCTGAAATGTAAATGGTCCTGTTGACTAACACAGCCTGTGGGGACAAATGGCCACTGGGGCTTTCACTGTGCTGATCGCCCTTCTGATCAAAGATGACATGGCTAACCCTTTTCCCTTGCTGCCCCTCAGAGACAACGACCCAGTAAATGACTCTTACCCGTTACTCTCGGGACTCCATATATATAGTTGACATTTGAACAACATGGCTTTGAACTACACAAATGCACTTATACTCAGAATTTTTTTCAGTAGTAAATACTACAGTACTACACCCTCCCCGATAGCTTGAATCCTTGGATACAGAGGGCAGATTGTAAATTATATGTGGATTTTTGAGTGCAGGGAGGGTCAGGGCCCCTAATCCCTGCGTTGTTTAAGGGTCAATTCTATACATAAAACAGATGCTCATGCGGGGCTGCAAACGAGAACCTGCACACACCTATCTCTGTCAGAGTCACAGTCCTCACCCCACACTGCCACCCACGTGGCCAAGAAACCTGGATCCAAGTCAGGCCAGCGTCTCTAGGAGACTTGGCTGAGGTCCAGGCCTGGGTCAGATGTCAGGGCCCTGTGTTAATGAGCTCAGGAGCCTTTGTCTCCTTCTCGCCCCTGTCCCCGGTTCCTGGTCCTTCTCTTCTCCAGGAGAAGCAGGGAGTAGGGGGTGGGGAACACCCTCCCAGGCCCCCAACTCCATGGAGCAGGCAACCATCCTGGGGGGCCTAGGGCTCCCTTGTAGCCCCAAGCAGGCCTTGGCCCTGTACCAGCACCTCTTCCGGTGCCCTGCAGGCCTAGACCAGCTCCGGGCTGCCCTGCAGCAGGTGAGGGCCAGAGGGCACCGTCTCTGAGTGGGCAGGTGTCCATGGGGTCTGATTCCACTTTGCCTCCCCAGGTGCAAGAGGGCCAAGCCTGCCTGTCAGTCCTGGAACTGCCCAATGTGCTGCTGCAGATGGAGCGGAGCCGGCGGGCCCAGGAGCAGGTAGGGGCCGGCTGGCCAGGGGGTGCGGCAGAGGGTGGGGCAAGTGCCCCCTCACATCCCAGCACCCCACCTTCCTGCAGCTCCTGTGGGATTTGGAGCTGCTGACCGGGGCGGGCCTGGGCCTCTTCTGGCCACCCTGGGCCCAGTTCTGTGACCTGAGGGCCCAGGTCCAGCACACACAGAACCAGCTCAGCAAGCCCCGCAGCAGGACAGATGAGAACTCTGAGTGGCTGTCGAGTGGGGTGAGCTGGGGCTTGGCTGAGAGCTGGGGGGTCAGTGAGACAGTGGGGCACTTGCAGTGAAGTGCCTAGAAGTGGGAGGAACATGGGCTTTGGAGACAGATCTCAGTTCACATCTCCGCTCTGATTCTTCCTGTGGACTGGAAGCCTGTTTCCTTCCTCGGCTACAGGATGGGGAAGATAAGAGCTCTTATCAGAGGGCTGCTGGGAGGCCCGTGAACTCATCTGTATAGACGGTTTAGCGCCCTGCTGGACATACAAGACCATTCCGGCCTGTTACTGTTCCATAATGAACTGTTCTAGTCCAATCAACTGCATGGTAACACCATGCCTTTAGCCATGCTACAGTGAGAGAGGAAAGCAGGTCTGATGGGGCCCAGAAGACAGAAGCCCTGATGCTCAGGGTGCCCCTGAGATGGGACCCTGAGTAGCCCCAGCCCCAGGTCCCTCCCTCCAGAGCTGGTGGCTCCCCCCTTGGCCTGCCACCCCGGGAAGGATGGTGCTGTGGTGACTGGAACTAAGATGTGCCTCCTAGTCCTGGCTCAGCACCCTGCTGCCTGAGGCCCTTTGGGCAGGTTAGTAGCTGTAGTAGCAGGAGTGGGTGTTAGTCATGACTACTGAGGAAGTATCCAGCCAACATTTTTGGCCAGGGCTACAGTCTCATCTGAAGGCTGGAGTGGGTAGGAGGGATCCGTCTCTAAGCTCCTTGACATGGAGGGAAAGGAGAGGGGTCACACAAGGGCAAAGAAGCCAGACGATGGATCCCTGGGAGCTGTTTTAGAGGCTGCCTACCACACTGGGGGATAATGCTGTGTGGGCTGGGGCACCCCCCAATCCTTCCAGAATTCCAGGCTGTGCCCACTGCCCCAGACTGAGGACTCCCTAAGCCAGAACCATCAGCTCCTGGAGGGGTAAGTCTCCATGGAATTCCGTCCACTCCATGTTGCCACACAAAGTGACCAAACCCGACCCTTTGCCCTGTAGCTCTCCAGAGCCCTGCCCAGCGACCCCTCCTCATGCCCCTAACTCCTCCTGGGGCTTTTTCTCAGTTGAACCCACATGGTTGCCCCACAGTCCCTGAAAAGGATAACCTCAAGTTCCAGCTCCTAGCATCCAGTGGTGGGTGAGAGGAGGCTGCCATGGACTGAGTTTGGGTGATGGGGTGGGAAGACTCCTGTAGCTTGCTGTGGGTGGGGAGTCCTACACCCCCCAACCCCCCTGGCAGCAGAACCAAAAGCAAGAGGTATGCCTGAGGCAGTCCTTGCATTCCTGCAGGGGCCGGGCAGCGGACCTGCCATCAGCCCTGGATCTGAGGGAAGCCAGCCTGGATGCAGACCCAAGGCAGGAGAGCCCTGGCTTGCCTGCGGAAGGGCCCACATCTGGTACTTTGACAGGAGAGGTTGGCAGCCAGGAGAACAGAAGCCCCTGGGTTGAATTCAATGAAATAGATGCTGTGAGCTTAGGTTGGGACAAGCCGGGAAGCCATCACCCCAAGTCCCGGGATTCTGGTTCATCCTCACGTATTCTTCCTCTCATACCTTTTTGTGGGGGTGCCAGGGGCAACCAGGGACAAAAAGTAGGTTTTCTTTTTTAAAAAATAATTTTATTTATGTATGTATGTTTGGCCGTGCTGGGTCTTCATTGCTGCACAGGCTTTTCTCTAGTTGCAGCAAGCAGAGGTTACTCCCTAGCTGTGGTTCAGGCTTCTCATTGCAGAGGCTTCTCTTGGTTCAGAGTACAGGCTTCAGTGGTTGTGGCACTTGGGCTCCGTACTTGCTGCTCCCAGGCTCTAGAGCACAGGCTTAGTTGCTCCACCGCTTGTGGGATCTTCCCGGACCAGGGATCGAACCCGCGTCTCCTGCCTTGGCAGGCGGATTCTTTACCACTGAGCCACCTGGGAAGCCCCAGGTTTTCTTTTCTATGCCAACTCCACCTGATTGGTGCCAGCCATCTCAGGCACTGTGTCCAGGAGGATTCTGAAGCTAAGCTGGGGCTCAGAGGAGAGAGTGCTGGGAATGTCTGTCTGTCCTCCCTGTCCTCCAGCAGGGATGGAATGGAATGGCAGCTCCAAGCTGCCACCCTCATGCCAGGCACTGGGGAGATACAGGGCACTTGTCCTCATCTCCGAGGAGATCACAGCCTAGTGAGAGAGTGTGACAATAAACAGGTGATTAGAATCCATCAGGATGGATGCTATGAGCCCTGGGCCTGTTCATTTAAATAAAACAGGCTCTCAAATGATTGGTTAAATAATAAGCCTGGCAAAGTCACAAGCTTTTTAATTGTGACATCGTGTACAGGAGAGAGGAGGAAAGTACAAATGATTATTTTCTGATCAACAGAAACTTTACAAGTATATTATCTCTTGGGACTACATCAGCAGAAGATATCTATTACAGCATTATAACCAGTAAAATAAATGATCCAGTAAGACAACAGATCAGAATTACAGAGGGACGGGGTTGGAGGTTATTTTCATAGTTCATGGCAATAATTTCTGAAGGCCTGGGACTCTTACCAGATGTCTTTGTTCAAAACTCTTCCAAAGACAGATTTGTTTTCACAGAGAACATTCCCATTTGGTTACTGTTATGAATATTCACACATCCATGTTGCATAAAGATGGCATTTCTTATGAGAGTTCTCAATTTAAGACCTTATGAAATCAGGTTCTTTTAAGTGGTTTTATGAATGCAAAACGATGCTCCTTCCTCCACAGCTGCAAAGGAGCAGCGACATTTCATCTCTTTTTTTAGATTCCTTTTGTTAATTATAAAGACTTGCAGTTTTTAGACTAGCCTCTGGCCTAAAATTCCACTTCTTGAATTTCATTTGATTTTGCTGTCCAGAAACCAAGAAAGAGCTAAAGAGGATTATCCTTAACAATAGAAAAGTCAGGCGCCTACTGTGGGGCTGGACAGGCACACAAGAACAAAGTAGGGGGTGTCCTTACGAGGGACTGGCGACCCTGGCAGACAGTCCCTTCCTGCTCCTGGGCTGCCTCTGGCAGTTTTGAGGAAGACGGTGTATAGGTTCCTCCGAGGTGGTCCTTGGCTGAGAGGATGAGGAAGATGGGGTCAGCTGTTGGCAGGCCAACCTGACAAGCAGACACATAGCAGGCTGTGTAAATAAAGGTGGAATGGTGAGCTGGGAAGGCCTTGAAGTTCCAACACCAGCCCTCAGGGTACCCTACCACCACCACTCAATTCAGTCCCCTCACCTGCTGGGGACTCCCTGGGCTTCCTGGCTCCAGTTCAGGGGTGTGTGTGTGAGGGGCTGGGACATGAGCAGACATCTGTCTTTCTCCTTCAGGTTGCTTCCAAGAGCTGAACCTCACCACCAGCGGTAGCCCTGGAGAACCAGGAATCTCAGAGTTCGAGGTGAAAGGGTGGAAGTTTCCTGGGCAAGACCCCTCTCAGATTGGGGATAGCAGAGGTGGGGTCTGCCTGGGAGGAGACTGCTGGGGTGAGAAGCCCGCAGCCAGGTGGAAAAAGGGGCCATCGCTGAAGCACCTTTTAAACTACATACATGGGTCTGGGGCTTCCCAGGCTATCGTCCACGAGGCTGCAGAGTCAGGCATGACTGAGTGACTAAGCACAGCACAGCACAACATGGGCTTTACAAATGCAGGAGTCAGGCCAGGGGCCTAATGGGAGTAAGGCCGACCAGGGCCCTGGGGGCTCCAGGTTCCCCTGAGGGAAGTGGCCCTGGAGGGAGGATTCCCTCACAAACCTGGGACAAAGTGTTCTTCCTTCCTAGGACCTGGCCCAGAGGCAAGAGGGGAGCCAAGCAGAGCCCACGCCCCAGAGGCCCCATCAACTATCATCTGGGAGCCTACAGGAGAAAAAGCTGGCTCAGGGAGCCCCAGGGCGCCCAGGCCTCCCCTCCCCGGGCCTGCCAGAACCCCAAGATCCCCTGGAGGGGCTGGGCTGGAGCCTGGGCCAGGAGAGAGCAGAACAGAAGAAACTGCTAAGGACTGAGATTCCTCACAGTCAGAGAGAGGGGGACCCTCAGGGTCAGAGTAAGAGAGAGACAAACCAGGGTCCGAGTGGGGAGGCCACTCAGGCTCTGATGGAAGAGGTCTCTCAAGGTCAAAGATGGGAGGGCCTCCAGGGCGAGCACAAAGGGGCGACTCCAGGTCAAAGCGAGAGTCGCCTCAAATGCGAGAGAAAGGAGGCCCTCCCGGAGCCGAGTGCAGACTCCCCTCGGGGTTCGGGAGAGAAGATTCTCCAATCTTCCGAGGGCAGAGCCTGTATCCCACCAGCCTGGGAGGCGGCTTGGGGAGAGGTGCCCCGGGATAAAGGCGGCTCCCCGGGGGACATCTGCAGGTCCCTGGGGGAACGGATGCGGCAGCCTGGGGGAAGGGCGGGCCCGGGGCCCCGGGGTAGGACCACCCAGCTGATGCAGGTTAAGACCTACGGCCCGAGAAGAGACAGCGCACCGGCCCTGGGAGCGCAGTGGCCCCTCCGGGAAGCGTTGCGGGCTCCCCTTCAGCTCGCTGGGCCCCTGACCCGGCCACTGCTCCCAGGCCTAGGAGCGGTGATGCTAGAGGCCCCATGCACTGGGGTCTCCGGGCAGCGGGAGCGCTCCACTGCTCTCCCAGGGCACCTGGGCCCGGTGCGCGATCCGCCCTCGCTTCAGGGCCCAGGAGGAAGCTCTGGCCCCGCGGAGCAGGAGCTGGGCGGCTCCACGGGGCTTCCGGGCGCCTTCGGGAGACCGAGGGGTGCTGCGGAGGCCCCCAGAACCTCGAAGACCGCGTGGCCCGAACCCCTGAGCAGAGACCGGGCGTCGGCGAGCATGAACGCCGCGCAGCAGGCGTCGGCTCTGCAGCGGCTGCTGGAGCTGAATCGCGAGGCCAGACGCCGGCGGCAGCGGGACCGCGAGCAGCAGCGCCTCCGGGTGCGCGGCCGGGCTGGGCGGGCGGGGCCCCGGGGGCGGCCGCTGGGCCCCTGACAGTCGCCTCCTGCAGGTCCTGGAGCGCCTCCGCATCGCCAGGAACCGCCACTGCCGGGTGCACCCCCTGGAACCCCCACCGAGCCCAGCTCAGCTCCCACCACAGGCAAGACCCCCAGGAGAAGGCGGTGGGGCCACAACGACCCTGACGGGGCGGGGGCCGGTGGCCGAACTGGGAGCGACCTGGATCGCTTTGCCTGGAGTGTATCCCGCACTTGCCATAATACCTGCGGAGCGGGCCGACCCGGCTGCTGCCCTCTGCTGGCCGCTTCGAGCCCGGAGGCCGGGAGGCACGGGCAGGCGGTCAGCGTTCCGTCCCTCTCCAGGAGGACGCGGCAGGGCGACGACGCGCCCTGCGGGAACAGCTGGAGCAAACGCTTCGGGAAAGGACCGGGCGGCTGCGAGCCCTCGGGGCCAGGTGAGGGGACGGAAGGGGAGTCTTGTGGGATGGCGGCGGTCACTTTTTCCTGACATCTGGGATGAAAGTCCACTCTTTTCCCCAGGAATACCCAGAACTTCCAGCAGTTACTGTGGGCCCCCGGGGCTGTGGAACCTGACGAGCATCACCCACCCTTCCACCCTTCCGAGGCCCCTCTAAAGTCTCTGATGAATCCTCAAGGAGATGATTAAAGAGACGGGGGTTTAAGGGAAAGGGACGAGGGCAACCGGCAGGTCGGAGGGAGTTTCAGAAAGGCCCAGAACGCAGCCTCCGCGCCTGGGAGAGCCACAGACACAGACACACATGCAGCTTCGCCCCACCAGGAGGTGTGTTATTTCTTCTTCCCTCCCCTAAGCTCTCTGCCCTGCTCAAGGTCAGAGGGCCAAATCCCGGGGATCAAGGAGCGCGAAGGCCCCATTCTTGCGGAAGAAAGATTCAATGCGGCACATCTTGCAGAAGACCAGTTCTTGCTTCACTGGGGGGCCTGGGAAAAGATGTCAAAGGCCAGGAGTGGGTTCCTGGGAAAAGAACCCACAGAACACAGGAGCCCTGCCTGCATAGCCCTAGGAGTCTGCCTGTGTTGTATCCACTTTGTAAGTGTGCAGAAATAAAAAGAAATGCTTCTGAGAAGTGGGAGTTACAGGGAAACAGGGAGCTGGCTGGCTGCCCACCCGGATTAGCAGTGATGGCCAAATGCCAGTCAGCTGTGTGCCAACACCTCCCCCAGCCTCAGAATCCTCCACAGAGGTGGGTGGTGAGACTCCCATCCGTGCTTGCTACAGGGACAGACAGAGCTGGACTTCTCTGGGGGCAGACAGGGCTTCTTTCTACCTCCTTTCATTTGGAAATTATTCCCTTTCCTCTCCCTTTAGGGCCCTGGGGCAAATCCCCCTTGGGCCCTGGGGGTATTTTTTTGTTAAGGCCAAATTTCAACTGTGTTTATCCTCAATCATCCACCTTTTCCGTGCAAGAACTGGAGAAAACACCTGACTAACTAGTCTCACCTGAAATTCATGACCACAGACAGCAAAGGAACTCTCCTCATCAGGCAGCAAACCCATGACACTCCCTGGCATTTTCTGTCCACACCTTGACTCTTAAGCTCAAACTACACCATTGCCTTTGCTCCTCTCCTACCCAGTTGACGACCACGAGTCAATCTAGATGGACAGCCTTCTTGCCAATACCATGTCCCTACATATCACTGTGTCCCCCCACCCCTGCACCTTCTCCCTGCGTGATCCAGCCTCTGGAGCAACCTGGGTGAGCCCACCCACTCTCAAGGCTTTAAAGAGCACCTATATTCTGATGACTCCCAAAAATGTGTCTTCAGCTCGGACCTCGCTCCAGAGGGCCAAATCACTGACACCTCCAGCAAAAACATAGCCAACGCTGACCTTCACACCCCCCAGCATCTCCCTACCCGTCTCCCCTGCTGTAGCTGCTACAAACACCTGCGTGTTGCCATTGTATTCTCTCCTTCGGTCATTCAAACCACCAGTAAGTTCCATTGTGTCTTCCTCCAAAACACATCCGGAATAGATTTCAGCTCAACTGCTAATCACTCAAGCCCAAGCCACCGTCTTTCTTGCCAGGATAACTCAACCATCTGTCAGTTTGTTCTTACCCCTGAAAAGGCCACTACCTACAGAATAGTCAGGGTGATTTTTTTTAAGTAAATCAGTTTCATTCACCTGCTTAAAACTCACTGTGGCTTCCCCTTAAACTTAGAATAAAACCCAAACTCCTCTCCCTTGTCAGTTAGCTCACTCGGCCTTTAGGTCCTCAGAGAGGCCTTTCCTGACAATCCATCCTAAAGCAACGCACGCCCCTGCCTCCTCGCCCATCACGCTATTTCATTCTGGAACTTGGCCCTCTCTTGTTCTTACGTTTCTCCACTAGGATGGATGCCCCCAAAAGGAGTGTCCATGTGTCTCGTGTGTCTAGTGCCAAGAGCACTGCCTGGCTCGTGGCAAGTTCTCTGTGTCTGTGAGGTGGATAATTTCCAGGAGGTTGGGGCTCACCCAGCTGCCAGCCATATGTGAAGTTGGTGGTGATGGGAAAGAGGTAGCGTTTCTCTGGCATGTCCAGTTTTCGGGTGCTGAGGTAGCGATAGCGGCCCTGGAAGTCGTGGGAGATGCCTTCGTACAGCAGGGCCCGGGTGGCAGGCGGGACTGGGTACATCTCTGACTGAATAGGAGCCTCCAAGGCGGGGCTGGAGGCCCTGGAAGGAACTGCTTTGGGGGCGGGTGGGGGTGAGAGTGGGGCTTTGGGGGACAGGGTTGGCAGCTTGAGGGGCAGGCGGGCTGCAGCCTTGGCCTTCTGCTTGGCCTTCACCAGGGACCCGTACTTGTGGTGCCACTCGCAGCGCAACATCTTCTCCCTCAGGTATTCCTCCTTCCAGAAGTTCTGCCGCACCGTGTCCATGCTGAGTTGCCGAGACATGGAGGCACAGGAAAGAGCAGGAGCGGGGTGCCTGCCGCCAAGGGGTGAGCACAGCAAGCAGAGTCCCTCTGACAGCAGGTGGCTGCCCAGGGACAGTCACTCGGCAACCGTGCCTCACCTCACACAGGGCCATGCCCTCAGCATACTTCACCTGCCTTGCTTGCTGAGGCAGCCTCAGGCCAGGGCCCACTGGCTAAGAGCCTTGACCCCCAAACCTCTTGCCAGACTCAAGCTAAGTATCTCTGGCTTCCAGGTTTGCTGTGGTTCCTGCTTCCATCCCTTGAGGTTCCGACCCCTCCCAGCCAATACAGACTCAAGCAGGGGCATCAGGGGTCTGGACACAAGCCGGCTTCCATTCCTCCCGGCCAAAGCTGGTTACCTTTAATTCAGAAGACCAGGCTGGCACAATCTTCTCGGTCCAACTCTTCTAGGCCTGGGTCTTTGGCAAAGCCTTTTCCAGCCCTGCCAATCAAATCACCCCAAGAGCCTCCTTCCACATGTCCTTCCTAGCACCCAGCCTCAGATTAGAGAGAAGCAAGAACATTATTTTAATTTAACATCAACAATGACACTGTGTAACAGCACAGGGAAGAGGTAGTGGAGAGAAGACACTCAGGTTTCCTGTACCCCAACCAGCCTTAATTTTAATGGCAGAGCCCCAGCAACCTTGGAAGCACCCCACCTCTGATGCCTCTCAGTGGAAAGGGAAGGGGCAGGGAATTGGAACTCAGAGGCTAAGATCTTAAAGAAGGGCTGATGGCAAGCCTGGGGAGAGGCCGCAAGGCGGAGGGGAGTCCTCTAGCGCAGGTCTTCGGCCGTGAACATGCCCCTGGCCCTGCGCAGGATGGAGTCCTTGGCAGCATCATACGGGTGCTCCTTGGACGGGATCTCCAGTACGGCCGGAATGGAGCGCTGGTGGGCGTCAAGGGCGTGCCGCACCATCTCTGCGATGTACTGGTTGATAAGGATAATGCCAATGTCATCCCGATTTAGAAACTGCCTGGAAGGAGAGATGAGAAGGGAGTCCAGGGAGGCCCACTCTGAGTTGGTGGACTGGGCCACAGATGGAATGGGCTTAATCCAGAGAGCACAGTGGACAAGAGAAAAGGGTGCTACACTAAACTCTCCACTCTGTTTAGAGTCAATTTCATTCAAAAGCTAAAGGCATGGCTTCTACCCCACCCCCACCACCTGAAAGACTCCCAAATGATCTGCTAATGAAGATGAGGGTACGTGCTGGTGCATTCCTTATGCTGCCTTCAGGTAAGAATGGGAGAGGACAAGACTATATGTGCCAGTCTCTTTGTATCTGCATAAAGAAAAAAGCAGAAAAATAAAGAAAAAAATACATGATGAAGGAAGTAATGAAGTAGAAGAGGTCAGCGGTTGAGACTGTGACTTCTCAATGTGTATTTGAGAATTTACAAATATTAATTTACAATTTACAAATAAATTTACAATTTACAAATATTAATTTGTAAACCAAATGAACATGTTAACTTTTCAAAAGGAAACAGGTTAAATTTCTAAACACACACACACACAAGACCACACCACGTGGCACGTGGGATCTTAGTATTCCACCAGGGATGGAAATCCATGCCCCCTACTGTGGAAGCATAGAGTCTTAACCACTGGACTGCCAGGGAAGTCCCCATAAAAATTTTTAAGGGGGGAAGGTGCTGTTCAGACCACTCATGGTCTATGCTGATGAGGGCAGGGGGTGGATCAGAGGGGAAGTTTGGCCTGAGCCAGGAACACAGCATAGGAAGAGGAAAATCAGTAACAAAGGAATCATACTTTCCACACAGAAAGAACCTGGCATTGGGCTCTTACTTTCTTGTGATCACCCACAGATTCATTAATTTATTTACTCATTAAAAACTATTTACTATTAAAAAATAAAAACTATTTACAGAGTAGCTACTCTTTACCAGACACTAAGGGAGGTTAGATTTGATGATTTCAGAGGTCCCTTTTGGTTGGAAACTTGAAAAGATCTTGAAGTAAAATTTGTCCTTCTCTCAAGACAACTTGAGTCACTTTACCAGACTGCTTAGAGATCAGCCTCCTGGGTCAGGGCCAATCATACCCCAGGCAATAGGAACCAGTCTTAGCCGGCAGCTCAGGGCTAGGCTGTTTAGGGGAAAACAGGCGGGAGAGGTTTGTTCCTAGCACTTGGCATAGGGGCTCTAGAGAAGGGGCGTGGGAAAGGACAGGTGGCTGGCACTCTCAACTGTAGTCACCAAGTCACCTCCTGGATTAAAAGACATGGCTGAACCCACAGCTTGAAGCTCCTGCTTTTAACCCAGGACAGGAAATGAAGATCTGAAGTGCAAGGTATCAGTAGAAGGTAGGATAGTCCTGATATTCTGTCCACTGAGCTCAGGACAATGGGAAATTCCAAAGCAGACCAAGAGCTGAAGGAGCAGAGTGTGGCCCTGGCTTTAAGAAAGGCAGAAAAGGTGAGACTGGGTTCAAATCTTTCCTCTATCTTTTTCCAAATTGTAGGACTTTAGTGTGTGCCTTTAACCTCTCTGAACTTTAGTTTTCTTACCCGTAAATGGGAATAATCCCTATCTTACATGACGACTGTGAGCTTCTAAGGGAGATGAAAACACGTGAAAGCCCGAGCCCACTGCCCAGGTGTTCACTGAGTGGTTCCTTTAGGGGTCAACTCACAAGAGTCGAGCGCTTGCAATAAAATGGGTCCTGCTCTACCGGTGAACTGGGAGCTGAGAGTGGCCGTCTCCAGGCCTGGGCACTCTGGAAACTCAGCTCTGGCCGGCCAGGTTGGACCAAAGGGCGGTGCCCGGCGGTCATGAGCTGTTCCCCTTCTTTCCTGACACACGGTCATGTGAGAGGGGCCTTTGTGAACCCGATCTAGCCCTGGTCCCACCGAGCCCCAAAAGGGAACTTGGGCCGCAGTGGCCTCCTCTCAGTCGGTGGACCGACCCCCCGCCCCCGACCCTCGAGGACGGGGTCTAACACTTCAGCCAAAGTTTGGAAGCCCAATGCCGACCCCCGCCCCCAGCCTTCTCCCTTCCCGCGCTCCCACCAGGCAGCAGAGGGTCCCGTCCAGGCCTCGCGGGCTACCTTACCGGAAAGTGTCTTCGATCTCATTGATGGTAGTATCCTTCTCCACCACCAGGAAATTAGGGTGGCGGTTCTTGTTAAGCTCCCCTATGCCGCCCAGCAGGAAGCCAGTCACAGTGTCCTCGTCTCCGATCACGGCAATTAGCTTCCCCCTCCCCGCCATCCTCACAGACAAGCCGAGATCCTCAGCGACCGCCGGGTGTCACCGAAGCCCTGCCTTCGCACCGCACGGCCTTCTGCCGGCACCTCAACCCCACAACGCTTTGGACATGCGCAGTTGTACCACTCCGCCTCCCGGGACATGCGCATTAAGAGCAGAAGCGCCTGACTCAGAATACGCCTGCGCCATAATGGGAGGCCAGAATCGGGGACTACGATTCCCAGAAGTCCGCGCGGTACAGTCGACTCTCGCAGGTAAGTTCGCTGCTTCGTTGGACGGAGGTGAGGCAACTGCTGTTAGACGTCTGGACGCCTAAGGAGAGACGGTTTCTGTTCTTCAGGGTAAGGTCCGAGTCTCTGTCGTGTATGTATGTGTGCATATAGTTAACAACTAGTGCATATTTGCTCAATTAATAAAAGGATAGATAAGTTAATGGTGATACTCTTTAGTGAGTAGTGTGTCAATTGTTAGTATGTGAAACGTACGTGGAAGCGCCCATCAGCGTAACTAACCCATGCGAGAGAGGGGCCGCGCGAAGAAGGTCGCTAGCTGGATGAGGCTGGTAGAGATGAGGACAAGAGGGTGGTGTTGGGGAGAGAAACAGCACGTGTGAAGACTTAGGGACTAGAGAGAAGCTAGTGCCTTCAAGGAAAGAAAAAGAATTTGGAAGTTATCCTGAGGACAGAATTATTCTGAAGCCACTGAAGGATTTTAAGCAAGAGAATGATATGGCCAAACTTATGTACTAGCGATAGGTTGAGACCTGTGCTGTGTGAGGAGGCAGGACTGAAGGAGAAGAAACCATTGTGGGAAGAGAATGATGGTGGACAGATGCCAGGGAGTGGGAGTGGGGAATGTGAGAGTCCGGTGGAGCCAAGAGATATTTAGAGACAAAGTGGACAGAACTGGTATTAGATATGTTTGGGGAGATAGACAAGATGACTTCCAGGTTTCTGGCCTGTGCAGCTAGATGACGGGAGTCACATTCCTGAGAGAGTGAACTCTGAGATGAACATGTTGAAGGAGAAAGGTCCACTCGCTCTCCCTCCCTTCTAACAAACAGATGTCCTGGCATCTGGCGTTTGATCTGCGGATTGAGAGCACTTGAGCTGTCCGGATGGTCTGGTCTGGTGGTTACATGTGGGATAGGCTCATGATTTGAACATAAGTGGTATGAATCTCAGCTCTGCCACTTAGAGGTATGATTTGGGACTCATCACCAAAATTCTCAGGACCTTGATCTCTTTAGGTAATTATGTGCCCATCTCACAGAGCTGTTAGGATTGAGTGAGGCAGAGTCTCTACACGCTCAGCACCTGGGACCATGCTACCGCTGAGGGTGAGCAGCAGGACTGGATGTTCATAAACACATCACCTCACAGGTAGAGGGCAGCAGAAGTTGAGGAGGAGGCCGGCAACCTGGCAGGAAAAACGCTCCCATCTTGGGGCGAGGTGGGAGGAGAGGCAGAGAGTGAGGAAGGATGTGTGTAGAAGCACCTGGGTCGGTGCCTGGCACAGAGCTGGCCCTTAATGGCCATGAATGGCTGGGAATTTGAGAAGGGATCTCACCTTCAAGGGTCTGTCAGGTGAGGGAGCTGTGAGAGCACCCCATTCATCACACACACCATTCAACCAACCTTTATCAACTGTGGCCATGGAGAGGCTGAGGACACGAGATTGATAAAATACAGTTTCTGTCCTCAAGGAACTCTCTCGGGACTGAGGGGAGAGTAAAAATATCACAGGGAGAGGGATGGACTTACAGAAAGAGAGGCCCTCGAGGGGTCTTGAGGGGGAAGAGAAAGACGAGAGGAACCAGGAGGCAGACATCCTTTGAGTGAAGAGGTGGGGGATGGGCATATTTGGAGCCAGGCCACGTGTGTTGGGTTTTCTTTGGTCAACCCACCGCTACATGCCAAATGTCTGGAATGAGTCTAGAGCTGGGGGATCAATTGAGTGAAGCTGCCTTGCTCTGCTCTGGCTACTCAGTTGCTCATTTACTTGTTGGTCACACCTGTCTGTATTGGACCTCCTAGGTCAGGGAGTGCAGTCTGGTGGGGCAGGCCCACCCTCAGATTCACTGTTACAGATGAGGGTAGTAGTAATAAATGCAGTCAGAGATGTGCCCCAGGGCAGCACGAGGGCTGGGGGGCAGGTCTGGGAGGATAGGGAGGGGTTCAGGAAAGCTTCCTGTTGGCCAGGAAGGTGAGGAGGGTGGAGAGGCAAGGATGTTCCAGGGCAGAGGCCCAAACTGTAGCACGTGCGGTCTGGGAATCTAGAAGTTGTGAAGAGGGTAGGAGGTGGAGGGTGTGGTGAGAAAGGGCACACCGCCAGCTTGGCAGGAGGTTTCGATGAATGGGTAGGGAGGCTGGTGTCTGAACCTATGGGCTTTGGGGGCCTTGTTAGGACACGTAGACCTCTGGAGAGGAGGGAGCCACAGAAGCGCCTTGGACCAGAGAGGGACACAGTTTCTGTAATGTGACCACCCTCCTCTGGCTGCGGTGTGGTGAGCTGGAAGGGAGCTGCTGGTGGTTCAGGAAGGAGGGACCAGTTCAGGAGGGAGGCCCTAAGCAAGGCCGGGCTGGAGGGACGGAGGAGACCCCGCTTTGACCCAGGACCTAGCTGGAGTGACAGGATCCTGGGTTCGTTTGTGGTTCTGCCTGCCTGCTGGTTGAGGAGTATTCCTGCATGAACCAAGGGCGACTGTTTTTTAAGGTCCTGATTTTGAGAACATCCTTGAGATCCAGCTGAATAGAAACTGGCCTCCTGATGGTCCCCGGGGCAATCTTCTATAACACAGTGTCCGCCTCCCTCTCCCACCCCCAGCTCTCCAGGAATCTGAGGACCAAGCCCACATCCCTGACATGCCCCCCTTTCTTTGGAGCATTCTGTCAACATTCCAGACCTCCCCAAATAGATGGTCCAGAGGGATGCCTCTCTGCCCCAGGCCCTTCCCCTGGACCTGACTCGGTCCTCCAGGGGACAGGCAGCCAGCCTCTGCCTCCCAAGGCCTGGTTCAGGGTCAACAGCCAGAGCTGGCCAGCCAAGCAGAGCACACACACAAGGAACAACCACGCCCCTGCGACAGGCCGCACTTTATTTGGAGTTTTCCGCCTAAACGGCTCCCAGCTGAGCCGCATGACATGTGCAAAAGCCCCCCAGAAAGCTGGGCCTCGCAGTGTGTAAAAAAGGCCCCCCCATGGGGCAGAGCTGTGCAATTAAAAAAAAAAAGAGAGAGAAATCGTCCTCCAGGAAGCCTGGCTGGGGTCTCAATCGCCCGAAGCCAGGACATGTGTGCAGCTGCCGCTAGGTACACTTTCTCCTCTGACTGTGCTTCGTTTTCCAAGTTGTAACACTCTGGGATTGTGGCCACCAGAGGGGCTGGATGCAGTCCTCAGTGGCTAGGAGGCCCGGCTGGCAGTGCGATTTGAGGGTGACCTCTCTCACACATGCAGACACCCCCAAACACGTGCTCCCCCACTGGCCTCAGCCCCACCAGAAAACACAGGGCTTCCCTGGCCCCCCAACCCCCAGTTCACCCTCATGTCACATTTGAAGTGAGGGACACTGCCCTGAAACAGACAAGGCCCTCCAGCCAGAGGGCCTGGCGGGGAGGGGGCAGTGCCGCTCTGTCCACACCCTAGGGCAGGTGTTTGTGGTGTCTGATTCTGCGAGCGTGCATCTGGGTGTGGCCCATTTATGTGTATGTGTGTGTCTGTGTGTCTGTGAGTGTGTTTGGCCAGAGGTGGGGGCCGAGGCTGGGGGAGGCACTTCTGGGATTCAGGGCACATTGACTTTGAAGGGGCTTCCGGGGACACTTTCGTCGCCCCACTTGACGATGAGGATGTAGTCCCCTTTCTCCTTGACGGTGTAGGTGACGTTGTACACCCGGTTCCCCATGTGCTTCACATACACCTCCTCACAGGGGGTCTTGGGCCCGTGCACGCCCACCATCATCATGTTGGTGCCTGGAGAGAGAGGCAGCGAGGGACAGGCTCACCCCCGGCCCTTCGCCCCATGTTCGCGCACACTTGCCCACCCTGGGAGATGGCCCCCTCTCCCCCGCTCCGCCCGCTGCCTGCCTGCTTTGCTGCAGTCCACGGTGAAGGAGTTCTTCTGGCCCACAAAGGCCTGGGACAGCCCGGGGCCCCGCGTCACCACCTTGCTGGCATCTGAGGAGAACTTGGGGATGGAGCTGTAGCTGGAACCCCGGCTTGAGGACGACTTAGTCACAGTCTCCACCAGAACTGTGGATGTTTCGTGAAGGCTGTGGCCTCCAGACAGCCGGGGACCTGAGGGGCAGGGTGGGGTTGCCACGAGCTGGGTCAGAGGCCTGCCCTTTCCGAGGCGGTAGGCACCGTGTGGCAGCCCTGACAGCCCATGTTCCCTTCCTCAGCAGCAGCATCCTAGGAGCAGCAGCCCATTTCACACAGGGTTCTCGGGCAGGCTTATCTCCAGGTCTGGGGCCTCCATGGCTCTGTCCACCCAACCCCGACCCTTCTGGGCTTTGTCTGGGACCCAAAGTCACAGGGTAGGTAGAACCCTGCTTTAAAAAGGAACAAGTATCCAACCAATCCTTCACACAGCTTTCAAAAGGAAAATCGGGTAAATGTCTGCTGAGCTCTGTCTTCTTGGAAGTCAGAAACGGGCGATGCTAGGAGGGCAGAGTTAAGTGAAAACTTGGGGAGCCACTGCAGGGAAAAGATTAGTCAAGGGATGGACAGTAGAGAGGGATTTGATTTTTTAAAAATGATGTACACGAGTCTATACATAGAAGGTAGAGAATGGCACGTTGTGTAAAGCCAGGCCCACTTTATTCTTGGTAACCTGAAACCCTGATGTTTGGGGCCAACTCTGACCCAGATGTGAATGGCCACTGGAGCCAGCCCAGGATGGGCTGGACTGGAGGGACCTCGCCCCACCCAGAACACTCACCTGTGACTTTAGCCTTGAAGGGGCTGCCCACGATGTGCTGGGGGCCACCATACTTGATGGCAATGAGGTAGTTGCCAGGAGCCATGGGAGTGTAAGTGACCACGTGACCCTCAGGACACTCCCGACAGTCCAGCTGCACCTTGGAGGGGCCATCAATGGTGACAGACAAGGCCCCTGAGCCCGCATTCAGGGTGTTGACGATGAACTCTGATGACACACCTGGGGACCAGAGGTAGCAAAGATGTAGACAAGAAGGGCTTGGGGCCCAGACCTGGGATAGGCCCAAGCTCCCCGAAGCAGACCTCAGCCAGAACTTGCGGCTCATCAGCACTGTCCCACCCTTCTCCCCAGCCCCAGGCACTCACCTGTAGTGCCTCCCTCGAGCCCAGGACCATAGGCCGACACCAAGCCTGGGTCCCCAGCCTGGCTCTGCTCCCCAACTCGGATCTTGAAGGGACTGCCAGGGATGTGGGCACCGTTGAACTTGACGTCGATGGAGTGGACGCCATTCTCATGGGGGATGAAACGGATGGTGTGCTTGTCTGTGGGCAGAGGTTGGTGGGTGAGCCTTAGTCTTTCCCCTCCCCTTTCCAGAAGGTCCTAGCCCGGCAGGGACAGGCCAGCTCACCACTGTCCAGTTCGGAGACGTAGCACTCCTCCACGGCACCTGAGGGCGTGTGCACCCTAGCGTCAATCACGCCCCGTGCGCCGTTCAGCTGCACCGCAAAGGACGCCGGCTGGTTCACCTTGAGCCCGGTCTCCTGCAGAGACCACAGAGGGTGCTGCTGAAGGGCTCATGTCTGCAGCCTGGCACCGATCTCCCTTCCTGCCCAGACTGGAGGCTCCCTCCTCCCACCCCCAGCTGCCCCCTGCCGCCTGGCCCAGCTCAGGGAGGTTCTCAACAAGGCTGCAATGGGAGGCGGAGGCTAGGTCTCTGGCCTTGGCAACCACCTGCTAAGAGGTGGGGCCTCCTGGCTGTGCCGGGCATGGTGGGGGACCAGAGATGATGTGCCCTGTCCTGGTTGGGGAGGTAAGACCCAGATACCATAAAGCGGGCCTGATAGCAGAGAAACCAGTGCTGGGACAGTACTGTGTGGACTTCCAGAACTCAGCAGCTGGGATGGGAAAAGAGGCGTGTGGGCTGGACTGCTCTGGGGGCACTTGATGGAGAAGGTGGGGCCGATGGGGAGGCTGGGGGTGGGGGCAGGTCCTGAAGATGAGCCCAGTTCTGGAATGGGGGAGGGAGAGGAGGGATACGATGGCACCTGAGGCTGCTAAGACTAGCCCAAGGGGCAGCTAGTACAGCTAGAGCCCCCTGTTGTCCAAACACTGTCCAAACACTGTCTGGACCTTTCAAGGTCACTGCTAAGTCCCTGGTCACATGGGCCTGCCATCCTCTACTGCCCATCTCTCAGGGTGGCAGGAGGGCCCCACCCCACCCCTGGGCACACACCTGGAGGCTGGTGACAGTGAGACGGCGAGCATCATCTGAGAGGGAGGCCACGGGTACCACGAAAGGGCTGTCTGGGATGTGCTCGTCATTGAACTTGATGGAGACCTCATAGTCACCTGGGGAGAGAAGACCAGTCAGCGCAAGCACCAGGACAGGGGACAGCATAGGGGGGAAACTTCCCACCCTGATCTCAGCCCAGGATGAGCTCCGAGGTCGGGCTCAGCTCTGGAGACACGTATTCCTGGGAGTGTAGGGTGGAAGGAAATGGGGCAGAGAAACTGCAGTGGCCCAGGTGAGGGTTTGGTTTGGGAGCCCCGTCTCTTGCTGGGGCAAGCAGAAGCCTGGTCTGGAAAGTCAGGCAGGCCCAGCAAGATGCCCACCTGGCTCCTGGACGACATAGGAGACCCCACACGAGCCGTCCTTGCGGTCCTCAAATGCGATCTCCGCCTTGCTAGGACCCTCCACGGCGATCGATAGGCCCCCGGCACCTGCTTCTCGAGTCCAGATGCTGAACTCGGCTGGAGACGGAAACGGGACAGGGGCAGGTCTTCAGCACCATCGCCCACCCTGCTGGCTGTCCTGCCCCCACCCCCCATCCTGGCCACCTGCCCGCTTACCTGGCACGCCAGCCACCCCTCGCTCCAGCCCTGTGCCTCCAGCTCGCACCTTGTGGGCACCGCCTTCACCCAGTGGCCCCACAGTGAACTGAAAGGGGCTGCCTGGCACATGCTGGCCGCGGTACTTGACCGTGACCGTGTGGGGCCCCATCTCCTGGGGCACGAAGCGGACGCTGTACGCGCTGTCCTCCCCCTCCACAATCTCGGCGGCTTCCGTCTTGCCCGATGGGCTGGTCACCTGTGCGGTCATGTCCTGAGAGCTGGCCTCACCTGCAGGGGGCGGAGAGTGTCAGGGCCACACCGGGGCTGCTCCAGGCCCTCGCCCTTCCCTCCCTCCCGCAGTAAACACCCCCTCCTCTGCTCAGACCAGCAGCCTCCCCATCCTCTCCCGAGGGACAGAAGGCCCACCTCCCTGTGAAGACCCCTGCCCAGTCCTGCTCACCCTCCTGCTGCCGGGTGATGCTGCCAAAAGAGCCCAGGCGCTCCCGGCCCAGGAAGTCCCCGAAGACGGCGGGGAAAGGGTCTCCGCCAACCTGGGTGGACTCCTCCACCCGCACCTCGCGCTTGGTCTCCCCGCCCCGCGTCTTGCTGATCTCCGTGCGCTCCGTGCGGGTGTAGGTGTGGCTGCTGCGGGTGAAGGTGCGTGTCAGGCGCTCCTGGGCGGACACCATCTGGAACCAGTTCCCTGTGGGATACATGGAGCCGGCGGAGGGGAGGGAGGTGAGAAGTAAGCCAGAAGGACAGAGGCCCCGGGGACAGGCTCTGGGTCTTCCCCGCAGCCCCACCCCACCAGGCTCTTCCCGGCGCCCACCTGGGATCTTGAGGTTGAGGTCGCAGGTGCTGCCGATGGTGGCGATGGACGGTGCCTGCCTGCGCCGGGTGATGCTTTCCTTCATGCGGCCCTCGCCGGTGACCTTCACCGTGAAGGGGCTTCCTGTAGGAGCAAGAAAGAGCAGGTCAGCCACCTCAGGCCACTCATCTCCGGCCTCCTGGCCCATCCCGGCCACAGCCCAGAGCCTTACCAGGTACGTGCTTGTCGGCGAACTTGATGTTGATGATATAGGTGCCGGGTTCGGTAGGGCAGTAGGTAACTTTGCATGTGCCATCCTCCATGTCCTCGCAGTTGATGTCCACCTTGCTAGGGCCTTCAATACTCAGCCCCAGGCCCCCATAACCTAGCAGGAGGCAAGGGACACGTCTCCTTCAGTCCCTACTGCCATCTGCTCTCCCCTCCCCAAACCGCAGGCTCCACCCAGAACAGATACCCAAGGGGCATCGTAACCACTAAGGAAAGGTGACTCAGCAGAAGAAGGAGGGGTGAGCCAGGCACTGACCCAGAGGGTTAGGGATAGGTAGTCTGGAAATTTCTCTAAGGCAGGCCTCTTGGGTTTTGGTGAGTGAGGGAGAGACAAACCCAGGATGGTGTAGCTTTCTCTTAGACACAGGAGAAGTGACAGGAGGGCATTTACTCTTCCCAGACGGGCCCCAGAATGGGAATCTCAGCAGAGACTGGGCCAGGAAGTTCAGGAGGGGAGGGTATGGTCCAGGGGCGCTGGGAAGGAAAGGACTGGTCCCCACCGGAGGCACCAGCTGCAGTGAGGGGTCTCCGGGGCAAGAAGCACCTGCATTACGAGTGTCCACGATGAACTCCGCCACCTGGAACGTGTGTCCCTCGGACAGGCCCTTGCCCCAGACCCGCACCTTGCTAGCATCCCCGATCTCAGACGGTCCCACCAGGATCTTGAAGGGGCTGTTGGTGACATGCTTGCCGCTCTTGCGCACGCTCACCACATGCTCCCCAACTTCTTTGGGGGTGAAGGAGATGCCTGTTGCAGGGGGAGGTCAGGCATGAATGGAGCTCTGGGCCTGGTAGTGGTCCTTTCCCAGCTCCCCGGGGCCCCTCCCGTGGCACCACGCTCACCGATGTGCCGGTTGGGCAGACGCTTCAGCAGGCAGGGCTCCTCGTTGCCCGAGGGGGCACGGATGCTGGCGGTCAGCTGGCTCAGGTCACTCTCAGTGATCTTCAGGGACACATCCGTGGAGGTGCCCACGTTCAGCTGTGACGTCCTCATCGAGTCATCGCCTAGGGGAGAGTTGGCATGTCAGGCGGGGTGACTCCAGGCAGGCCCTGCCCTCGTGGGGATCAGGAGACCCCCTGGATTCAACAGAGCCTTTGCCCGCCCCCCCCACCCCCCAAACAGGCACAGAGAGATGGGGAGAGCACAGTCTCCATACACATGTTAGGGGCCCAAGATTAGGGCCCCAGTCCTGAATGGGTTAAACCCCTAATTTACATAAATTTAAATTCTAAGTCAGGTAATTTTGAGGAACCAGAAAAGAAAACCGAGTCTAGACCACACAGCCCAGAACCCTTACCTGCTGTGTGTCGCCCCTCCAGGCCTACTGGTTTCCTCACCTATCATCAACATCCTGACTTAAAAGACTGCGAGAGTGTGTTTTCAAAGAGTGGCTGAGTGTTTCTCACTTGCTATAGAGAACAGCGCATTCCTTACACGTATCCAAAAATGACCTCTTCCGCCTCGAGGGCGCCCTACCCTAAACACCCCAGAGACCTGAACGTGCTGGGCTTGCACAGCCATCGTGTGCTGGGGTGTGTGCCCACGCGTCCACCCACCTGTGATCTTGGCCGTGAAGGGGCTTCCTGGGATGTGCTTGTCGTCGAAGCGCACGATGATGCTGTAGTCTCCGGGCGCCGTGGGGAGGTAGGACACGGTGCAGGTGCCATCTTTGTTGTCCTTGCAGGTGATCTCTGCCTTGGACGGGCCCTCCACAGCCAGGGACAGGCCTCCTGTGGGGGGAGGCAGGGCCGTGGTCAGAGGTCCTCACCCCTGCACCGGCTGCCCGCCCACAGCCCCTGCCAGCAGCTCCCCTCACCTTCCCCGGCATCCTTGGTGACAATGGTGAAGGTGGCCGGCTTGTTGACCATGCCATGGCTCAGGCCTGGTCCGTAGGCGCTGACGTGGCGGCTGTTGATGGCGTCCACGTAGAACTGCAGGGGGCTCCCTGGGGGTGGTGGGGGAAAGGGGGCTGGGTCAGCAGTCAGGACAGGGGCTGCCTGAGCCCACCTCAGACCCCCACACCTTCCCACAGCCTCCCTGCCAGGCCCTGCATCTGTGCCGACAGGGTCTCCCACCAGGACACCAGCCTTCCCGGGGCTTCACACGTGTCTGTATACAGCACGTGCTCAATAATTATGAGTGAAAGAAGGCCGATGAGGAAGTCACTGTGGGCTCCCCTCAGCCTGGCCCCTGACTCACCGGGGATGTGGTTGCCGTCATACTTGATCCCCATCTGGTGCAGGCCCTTCTCGGTGGGCGCGTACCTCACCGTGATGGTGCCGTCCTTGTTGTCAGTAATGTTGGGCCGGGCGGTCTTCCCAGAGGGCATCCGCACCTCCCCTGCCAGGCAGACACGGTACGTGTGGGACCCCAGTTTCTCCCAGCTCCACCCCCTGCTGTCCCAGGCTTCCCCCCGCCCCAGTTACCAGGAGACAGCCAGGGGTCTCAGTGTGAATCCTGACCTGGGAGACAGAAGGCTGGAGTCTCGAGTTCCAGCTCTGTTCAGCTTACTGTGTGACTCTGGGGAGCTTACTTCCCCACTCTGGGCCCCAGCTTTCATCTCTTAAGGAGGAGCTGGGCCTGGACACATGGCCTCCCTTGGGGCCATCCTGCCATGGGGCCCTGGGGCAGTACCTGTGAGTTCCCCTTTCTGCACAGTGAAGGGGATGACCAGGTTGAAGGGTCTCAGCATGGACTCCATGGGTTCCGCAGGCACCACCGGCTCCTCTGTGGCCTGTGGCGGGGGAGAGGGAATAGTCACTTGGCTGGGAAAGGTCTGGGGAGCTCGGCCTGAGCTGTGACTGAAGACAGAGAAGGTGAGGAAAGAGCAAGATGGTTAATGGTGAAACCAGAGGGCAGGAGAGGCGCGTCAGCTGCAAGAGAAGAGGTGCCGTGCCCAGCTCCGGGATCCGTCTGCCCCGCCTGACTTCCCGCCTGCTCCCCAAGATGGCCCCCAAACCATGCCCCGGCCCTGGCCGCTGAAGAAGAGAAGAGATGAAGGAAGAGGAGGCGGGGGGGCGAGTGTGGCCCGGGTGGGAGGGGCAGTACCCAGTGTGTGGGGTAGGCGCTGGGCCGGTGCAGCTGTGGCACGTCAGGGGGCTCCTCCACGCGGGGCATGGCCTCACACGCCTGGGAGGCAAGGCATGGGAGAGCATGGGCTGTGACAGGCCAGTCCCCGCCAGCTCGGGTGACCACAAGCTGACTCAGAATGGCCCAGGGACCTGATATCCTGGGCCACCCCTAGGGCAGGATGGCTATCTCGGGTGCTTTACTCTCCCGAGGGCTTCCCTGTCCTGCAGGGCCACCTGAGGAGATGGACGGGGATAGTGGGCCCGAGGGTCAGAAGGAACATGGCAGGTTCTACCAGAAAGAGCTGACTGATGCCCAGAGGGGCCAGAGGCAGGGCTGTGAGTGCCTCCTGGGTTGGGAGGCTGCCGGGAAAGCACAGGCTCCACCCTGGAGCACTCTGGGCCCAGGATCCATCAGACGTGGGGACGGGTTCTGGTGTTCCTTGTTCCCACTGAGAAGGCCTGGCCCCCCTCCCTTGCCACCCCCCAGCTCTGCTGCAGCCGCTGAACTTACCAGCACATGGAAGGGGCTGTTGGGGATGTGCTCGCCTCCGAAGCGAATGGTGATGACGTACTTGCCAGGCTCGGGCGCCGTGTAGTAGATGTCGAAGGTACCATCGTGGTTCTCGACCACGTCCACGTCGAGCTCCGCCCCGTCAGGGGTGGACACTGTGCATGTCACCTTCCCCTTGCCTGCTGCCTTGGCGTCCACTGTGATCACCGTCTCCTCCCCAATCTGGATGCGGGGGCCCAGGCAGGCACCTGCCGCACAGAAGTGCCTAGTCAGCGTTCCGTGGGACCTGTGCCCAGTCCCCCCGCTCAGTTCCCAGCTGCCCCCATCACCTCAGCCCACAGGAAAAAGGACACTCACCCAGGCCGTGGCCTCCAATGGACACTAGAAATAGAGAAAAGCATAAGCCGCAGTGTTAAGGATGAGCAGGGGTGAGGGATGGGGTGTGTATGGAGGGGACGGGAAGGGGTGGGTGCCCACCTGTGACCAGGCACTTGCTGGCGTCCCCAGTGGGCAGGGCATGGATGCGGAAGGGCGAGTAGGGGATCTCATCACCGCCATACTTGATGGTGATGGTGTACCGGCCACTCATGTCCGGGAGGTAGGACACAGTGTACGTGCCATCCCCGTTGTCTCGGATGTTGGCCTTCTTGGGCTTACCCTCAGGGTCCTGGGGGAGAAGCAGTGATCAAGGCCTGCCTGTGCCTAGACCCTGAACTGAGAGGTGGGCGGCACGTGGACTCACCAGGATCTGGACAGTGAGCAAGCCCTCCCCAGCATCCCGGGCATCGATGGTGAACTCCACGGGCAGGCTGGCCGGGATGCCAGAGGCGTTGAGGCCAGGGCCGCTGGCCCGCACCTTGCTGGCATCATGGGCTGGAAGCACCTTGATCTTGAAGGGGCTTGAGAGGCAGAAAGGATAGACAGTTGGCTGAGATTCAGGGGGAGAAGGATTCCCATCTCATTTTGGGCCTGGAGTCCTCCCTACATTCAGGAGCAGGGGAGAGGAGTCCTGGCAGGAAGCAGGGACTAGGTCACAGCTTGGGTCTTAGGGGAGGGTCACATAGGTGTGCCCCTGACAAAGCCTGGGCATTTCTTCTCCATTCTCCAGGAAGAAGCTGCAGATGGTTTAAAGAGGAGGCTGCAGGAGGCTGCCCTGTCACACCTGTTTGTAGCTACATGGTGCCTTTTCCCAAGGTGTTGATTTTGTAGCTAACTGGCGGGACAGCCCAGCCAGAGGAGAGCTCCTGGGGCTGCGCCACCTCCAGGGTAGAGAAGAAGATGGGCAGGGGGCCCCGAGAAAGAGTGGGATGGGGCAGCAGAGAATAGATGAGGCATAGACAAGTAGGGGAGTGTTTCCAGGGTCCTGGAGTGGCCCTGTAGCTGTGGCCCTCGTGGGAGCTCCCCAGAGCCCAGCAGAGCACAGAAGCCCCAGGCTGGGCCTCACCTGCGTGGTACCTCCTGGTCGGCGTACTTGACGGCTACTGTGTATGGCCCGTCCGTGGCTGGGGTGTAGTGGACGGTGTGGGTGCCATCCCCATTGTCACGTACCTCCACAGGCTCAGCCACACCTGGGCAAAGGGAACAGTCAGCAAAACCTCTTGGCACCCTTTCCATCTCCTTCCACCTGGCCCCAGACACTCCGTACCTGTGGGGCCCAACACGGCCACCTGCAGGGGCGCCCGGCCAGCTTGGCTGCAGTCCACTGTGAAGGTCTGGGGTACCCGGGCCCTGACGCCAGCTCCCAGCCCTGGGCCCGAGCACTTCACCTTTCCGGGGTCCACCACGTCCTTCACTGGCACCCGGAATGGACTCCCTGCAAGGAAGAGGGATGTCAGCCCCAGCCTACCCGCCCCAAAGGGTCCCCCCGACTCAGAGGACCCAGGAAGATGAGGCCTCCCCTGCTTTTGAGATGCCCCTGGGAGACCAGAACTTAGAAACTTGCTAAGAAAATTTAACAAGGAGAAATAAAATCGGCTGCAGAAAGCACCTATACTCCAATAAAAATTAATAAAAGTAAAAGTTAAAAACAAGACAAAAACTTGGCTACAGGCTGAGCCTGGGTGAATCCACTTATTTAGGCCACACGCCTGAAAACAGGCCTTCCTAAATTAATAAATTGCTAAAAGAAGTATTTGTAAAAGAAAATGAATTTTTTCCAGTGTGAAACTAGATAAGTGGGGTGGGGAGAGTCCCATTTCAGCAAGCCCAGGTAATGTGATAATTGAAGACACCAACCACCCTCAACCCCTGCTGGAGGGCAGGGGGCGGTTCCTGGCTTTGCAGACAGAGAGAGGGTGTGAGAGGTTGTCCTGGCTGAGCCCACGACACTGGCTTGGACTGTGAGTGATGGAACCCACGAGATCTGGTGCTCCAGGCAAAAGGGCCGAGACACCAGTGCTGGGCCTCTGGGAATGAACTGTACCCACCGCCCTGCCCCTGCCCTAACCTTGGCACCTGTGCCTGCCTGCTCCTTGTCCCTGCTGCTGGTTTGGGGCTTTCCTCCTCATCCTACTTCCTTCCAGTGTCCCTCCTGCTGAGCAGGCCCCCTGCTCCCCCCAGTGCACACCTGGGATGGGCCGGCCCCCGAAGGTGATGTTGACATCATAGTCTCCGGGGGTGAAGGGGATGTACTCTACAGTGCAGCTCCCGTCCTTGTTGTCCTTGCACGACATCTTGGCTTCCGATGGGCCCTCGATGGCTAGGCCTAGGCCCCCGGTGCCGGCTCCCCTACAAGGTAACACCCTTATGTCAGCACCGCAAGGACCAGTGAGTGGGGATGGAGGAGCAGGTGAAGGGGAGTGGGGGCCTGTGGAGAAGGGACCAGCAGCTATAGCAGGGAGGTTTGCAACCTTGACAGGGGATGGGTGTGGATGAGGTCCACACAGGAGGATGAAAGGGGAGGGCAGGTGGCTGGGCTCAGGGAGGCCACAGCATCAGGGCCAAGGTTAGGAAAGGGGTGGGCGCACCTGGTTTCCACTGTGAAGCGGTTAGCCTTGTTGACCAAGCCCCCCTCCAGCCCCGGCCCAAAGGCCCGGACACGGGTGGGGTCACAGCCCTCAGTCACGCCAACGCGGAAGGGGCTCTTGGGCACGGCCACGTCGTCGTACAGTACCTCCACCAAGTGCACTCCTGGAAGTCAGCCACACGGCACAGGTCAGGGCGTGCACGGCCCCTACCACCCGCCCCCCTCTGAAAGCGCTGGGGCCAGATCCCCGCCGTCCTGGCCCAGCCCAGCCCCTCACCCTCTTCGTAGGCCGTGTACTGCACGCGGTAGGTGCCGTCCCCGTTGTCGGTCACGTAGGTGTCTGTCTTAGCGCCCGAGGGGTTGAGCACGCGTGCCGTCACGTGGCTCCCACCCGTGGCTGTCAGGGATCTCGCGTCCACAGTGAACTCGGTGGTCACTTCACGCAGGACACCTGGGTCCCAGGAGACAAGCGCTCAGCCCTCATACGGCTGCCCACCCCTGCCCGCCCTCCCCAGCTCCGAGGCGGCTCCTCCTCTCCACCTGCTGCTCCTCAGCCTGGACCATCCCCCCAGTCCAGGCCCTGCTTGCCACAGCCCTTGCCTTCCCTCCCTTCAGCAGATAGTGACATTCTGCTCACCCGAGTCTCCCCACCCGGCTGTGGGCCCCTGGAGCGCGGGGCTGGCTCTTCCAACCCTCTGCATGCCCCACCCTGCCTGGCCCACGGTCTGGCCCCCAGCAGATGGTAACTCAGTCACTGAACTGAGCTGAACCATCTCTGACTCTCGTCACCCTCGACTCCAAAGTCTTCCCTCTGTACCATTGAGTGCAAGATTCTTTGATTTTCAGATCAGCTGATGAAAGTTGAGGATCTCCCAAGGAAAATGGCCACGGGCAGAAGCAATCTTGCCACCAAGACCAAGGCAAAGCTCCACGCCCTGCCCTTGGCTTTGACACTTTCTCAGAGGTAATCTGAGCCCCTGAGATGCCAGTGCTGCCCCCCAAGCCCTCAGCCCCACTTCCCTCTCCCCCTGACTGGTGAAGTGACCAGATCCAGGTTTCTCTCACTCACCGTGCGGCTCCACACCAGGCCCTGAGACCTTGACCCCACTGGTGTCGACTGCGGGCTGCACGTGGACGCGGGTGGGGAACTTGGGTACGGGGTGCCCGCCGTACTTGATGGTAATGGTGTAGGTGCCGGGGAAGGCGGGGCTGTAGGTGATATGGTAGGTGCCATCTGCATTGTTGTGGATCAGCACCTCGGCCTTGACGCCGGCGTCCGACAGGATCTCGATGGTCAGCTCGGCCTCGCCCGCCTCCGAGCAGTCCACAGTGAAGGTGGCCGCCTCCCCAACCTTGCCACGCTCCAGGCCTGGCCCGCTGGCCCGCACCTTGCTCGGGTCGAACACGGGCCGGATGGTAGCCTTGAAGGGCGAGCCGGGGATGTGTGCTTCGGCAAACAGGATGTTGATGGTGTACTCGCCCGGCTCTGTGGGCAGGTAGCTGACGGCACAGGAGCCATCTCCATTGTCCTGGCACTCGATCTTGGCCTCGCAGGGGCCCTCCACGGTCAGCCCCAGGCCACCGGTGCCCGCTCCCTTGGTGTCGATGGAGAAGGGCGCTGGCGTACCTACCAGCCCGCCCTTGAGACCAGGGCCGTAAGCACAGACCTAAAAGAAGGAGCAGATGTGTGGGTTACCTCGACTGGTCCCATGCCCAACCTTCATGGCTCCCAAATCAACTAAGCACTTTCAACTGTAGCAGCTCCCACAGGCTGAGTCCTCATCACAATTCCACGTGAGGAAATGCAGGGAGGTTAAAAAATGTATCCCAGCTGACGGACCTGGGGTTGAAGCCCAGGTCAGGTCCAAGGCCAAGCTCTTAATGACTAAGCTGTCTTGATATGAGTTTTTATATACGGAATGGATAAACAACAAGGTCCAACGTATGACACAGAGAACTATATTCAATATCCTGTGATAAACTATAATGGAAAAGGGTATTTTTTTTAATGTATGTATTTGTATGCATGTATAACTGAATCACGTTGCTCTACAGCAGTAATTAGTACAACATTGTAAATCAACTATACTTCAATAAAAATATAAAAAAACAAAAACTAAGCTGTCTCAAAGGCAAGTCCTGTGGTGGGGCACTACCTCGGCACAGGGCCCTTGGCTGTGCTCACCCTGGGGCATGAGGCCTCTGGCCTCGGCCCCTGTGAACGACCCACCTTCCCTACAAGCCTCCAGCTCCCACCCGCCCCTACTTCCTCACCTTGGAGGGGTCAGGGGGCAGGACGCCCTCCACGGTGAAGGGGCTGCCAGGCACCGGGTGACCATCATAGGTGATGTCCACCTTGTAGGGCCCCTCCTCAGGGGGCATGTAGCGCACTGCCTGGGTCTCAGCTCCACCGCCGGGCTCCAGCTTGCAGGGGATGGGTCTTCGGGAGGGCGAGGTCATCCGCACGTCCAGGTGGCCCTGACCGCCAGCCCCTCGTGTGTTCACAGAAAATGCCTGTTCCTGCCCCACAGCCACTTCTGTGTGGAGAGGGAGGGATACGGTGAACAGAAATTCCAACCCACCGCCCCCCTCAACCCTCCTCACTGCAGGGGCAGCTCCTGCCCCACTTACTGCTGTTGAGGCCTTGAACCTTGACTTTGCTGAGGTCCAGCGGCGGTGCCACGTTCACCACGAAGGGGCTCTTGGGGACAGGGTCTCCACCATAGGTCACTGTCACCGCCATGTTGCCCTAACGGATACAGCAGGAGGTCAGAACTGAGGGGCTGAGACCCAGCCCGCCATCGGTCCTCGGCTGACGTAGACCAGGGGCTCAGAGACCCGTGGCAAGAGAGGATGAGGAGGCAGGAAAGGGGCCAAGACCCCCAGCGGGCCCTGTGGGGCTGGAAGAAGGAGCCCCACGCCCCCAGTCAGCCAGGACAGGAGGGCCAGGGCAGGGGCGGACACACCTGCTGCACGGCCGTGTACTTGACAGTGTAGGAGTAGTCGTGGTTGTCGATGATCTCAAAGTCTCGCACGGCTTCTCCCTTGGCGGCTCCGGCAAAGTGCACGTCCAGCTTGGCCTTGCCGGCTCCCTTGGTCAGCACCGTGAAGTGAGTGGGCTTCCCAACTTCCACACCTGGAGCGCCCATCCCGAGATGGTGGTGAGGGACTGGCAGCCACCCAGCCCCAGCCCAGCCCAGCCCAGCCCAGCCCAGCCCAGGCAGCTACCTGTGCGGTTCAGCCCAGGGCCCTCTGCCTTGACCTTGCTGGCATCGTGGGATGGGTCCACCTTGATATGGAAGGGGCTGGCGGGGATCTCCTGGAGGGAGAAAGGGCTTGGTCAGAGTGGACGCTGGCAGTGTCTAAAGAGAGTCTCTTGTCCCTTTTGCTTCCTCTGAGGCACGTTGTCCACACACAGGAAGTGCTCAGTCAGGGGCAGCAGAATTGTCCCCAGAGGACAGCCTCTCAAGCTGCTGGTTGGGATGGGGTAAGGGGGTGAGGTTAGGGTTGATAACCAAAACCCAAGCACAGGGTACCTGGTTGGCAAACAGCACCATGATGGTGTAGCGGCCCGCCCCTGGAGGTGTGTACTTGACTGTGAAGGTGTCGTTGTCATTCTTGATGATGTCAAAGTCGATGTCAGCCTCTGCGGGGCCCACCACGCCGGGGGCGCACTTGATGCCAATGCTCACATCGCCTGAAGGGAGGCAGGCACGAGGCCATGAGTTGAGGGGGCTCCACAACCTCCTGCATGTGGCCGGTCCCACTCCCGGGAACAGGTGGAGGGTAGCAGCGCCTCCTGCCCGGACACCCCCGGCCCCGCCCCCCACTCCCTGCTCCTGGACGCACCTTGCCCCGCCTCGCTGCAGTCCACTGTGAAGTAGGTGGGCTCATTAGCCTTGAGGCCTGTCTTCTCCACGCCGGGGCCGTACACCTTCACCCGCTCGGGGTGGCTGCCCTCTCCCACGTTTACCTGTGGGGTGGAGTCGACAGTCAGTGCAGGGCCCCCTCCCTCAAGGTCCGTCCCTTCCCCAGCACTTCTAGGCCCGGTCTTAGCCTCTTCACAGGGGCCATGAGGTGGGGGCAGGGACAGGGCCCAGGGATAGCCAACATCCCCCACTTGGGGCTCCACCCTCCCTCTGGGGCTGTTGGCAGGGGGCGCAGGGCAGGGCTTGGAGGACACACCCGGAAGGGGCTCTTGGGGACGTTGACACCTCCCCAGGAGACGATGATGGTGTGCTTAATGGGCTTGGTGGGCACGTAGGAGCAGCGGAAGGTGCCGTCGCCGTTGGGGATGACCTTGATGTCGATGGGGCAGCCATCGGCGTCCTGTGGGCATCACCCAAAGCAAGGTTCTTAGAGCACCCCAGCCGTCTCAGAGCGCCCCGGCCGTCTCAGAGCGCCCGTGCCCGCGCCCGCTGCTGGGTTGCTTGCCCACCATCAAAGCCCCTCCCCGCAAACAGATCACAGACCTCCAACCACAGGAACCTAATGCCACGAGCTCTGGTGGACAGGCCACACCCTGGGGAGCTGAGGAACCAGGTTCAAGGTCATCTGTGTGGCCTGGTCTCTGATCCTAGGTCTCCAAAGTGTGTTGTCAGGGGAAAAGGCTCAGCTAAACCAATGTTCTTAAAACTGAATAAACAAACTTTCAAGAAAGAAACATCCTCCTGGACCAAAGAACATATTCATTAACCTCTAGGGGTCAAAGGACACCATTTTGAGAAAGTCACCTGGAAACCAGTATCTTAACCCAACCATCTTTAAATTGCAAATGATTAGCATAAAAACACAAAAACACAAAAACTTTGGACTTCCCATAGTTCAAATGGATTCATGAGAATCAGTCCTGTGATGCCTTGAGGCCCTTTTCTCTAACCTACTCTACCCTCCCAGGGTCCCCCCTATGGCAGCGAGGGGCAGAAAGATGGGGCAACACCCTACCTGGGCGTAGAGCTTCAGGTCTCCCTTGCCAGCAGCCCGGGCATCGATGGTGAACTCTGCTGGCTTGTCCACGATGCAGCCGGTGGGCTCCAGGCCAGGCCCAAAGGCCTTCACCTGTGCAGGGGCAAGAGTGGAGGGCTGGGTTGGGGACCGGAGGAGGGTCTGTTCATCCTGTTGCAGGCCGGGCTGTGGGAGCTGGGGACACACCTTGTCTGGGAAGCAGTCGGGTGGAGCTGGCTGGATGTGGGCGATGAAGGGCGAGTCCCGAATGTCCTCGTCATCACAGATCACGTGCACTGCATACTCCCCAGGCTCTGTGGGCCAGTACCGCACATCGCAGGAGCCGTCTCCCTTGTCATCACACTCGATCTTGGCCTGTGAAGGCCCCTCAATGGAGAAGCCTGGGTGAGAGGTGGGGAGGGTCAGGGGGTACCAGAAGCGACTTGGACACCCAGGCAGGTCCCCCATCACTCTCCCAGCATCACCACCCCAGCCACCCCCGTTCCAGTGCCTGTCTCATCTCAACACTGGCCCAAATTCCTGCCTCCTGGCCTCCCCACCCCCTGGTCACTCACCAGTGTCCCTCCATCACACCACTCCCCGGAATTCCCATTTGTTACCACCTCGGCCACTTACCCAGTGTCCCCACCTCTGTGCCAATGGCCTCCACCACAAAGTCGGCTGACTTGCCCACCTGGCCAGTTTCCAAACCGGGACCCCAGGCCCGGACCTTCTGCATGCCTGCCTCTGGGCTCACCTGCACCTCAAAGGGGCTGGGCAAAGAGGGAGCTGGTGTCAGCGCCCCGAGGTGCCCCCATCAGAGGTACCCCTCTGCCCTTCACTTGGAGCCCCAGGCAGCCTGCCTCCCTCCGCCCACCCTGTGAGGGCCCAGGCTGGAAGGCTCAGGCCTGCGTGGTGCTCACCTGCGGGGAATGGCGTAGCCGCCCCAAGTGATGGTCACCACGTACTTCCCAGGCACCACGGGGTAGTACTCACACTCGAACACGCCATCCCCGGCCTCCCGCACCTTCACTGGTTCCTCTGTGCCTTCTGAGAAGATGTGGGAAGTGGAGGGATCAATGATCTGTGCGTCTCCGCACCTCAGTCCCCTCAAGGACCCTGGGGACTGGGCTGTGGGACATTCCCTGGCTGAGGACAGCGCTGCGAGCAGGCACCGTGGAGCAGGCACCAGGTAACAGCCTCGTGCACCCTTCCCAGCTTGCAGCCTGGGAGACTGAGCCAGGCGGGGCGGTTCACCTGAAGTCCCACAATGTCTCTGGTCAGTGTCTTTTTGGAGCCCCTCCCCCCAGGGGAGAGCATGGTGCTGTCCTTGCCCTCAGGGGGTCAGAAGCACTGGTTGCCTTTCCTCCCAGCTCCCCTGGTACTCACTAGGTCCCTTGACTGTGACCTTGAGCTCCCCACTGCCAGCGCCCTTGGTGAACACCTTGAAGTCAGCCACTTCTTTGACACGCACACCCTTGGGCTGCAGACCCCGCCCAGAGGCGCGGCAGGCATTGGGGTTACAGGCTGGGAGGAAGAGGAGAGATGAGGTTGGGGGCGCTGAGGGGCCCTAGACAGAGCCTCAGCCCTTACCACTCGTCCCCACCTCACTGTGCGCAGTCCTCCTGACTGACCGCCCCCACCCCCGTCCCCTTCCCCCAGGCACAGGCCATGGCCTCATGCAGCCCTCCCCTGTGCTCCCTGGCACCCCCGACACAACTGAGAGCCATGCTGGGCAGAGAGCGGCCACAGCACCCCCAGCCCCTGTCCCCAGGCTGGTTACAAGAAACCCTTCCCTCGGGGCTCCTCCTGGTCAGGGTCAGGTGGGACAAAGGCCGGGCGGAGCTCAGAGCTCAGACAGACCGGAGGGGCCTTTCATCCACCCCACAGCCATCCACCCAGAGCCCTCTGAGCCTTCTCGGAGCCACCACAGCAGCTTCAGGAACCGAGTCATGCCACAAAACACTCAGCCACACCATGGAATGAGGGAGGGTCGTGTGACGAGAAGCCTGCCACAGGTCACAGGCAATGCATGAAGGTCAGCCTGCTGCGGGACGCTGCCGGTGGCGACTTTGCTGCTGAACACAGACCATAGGACAGGGATCTCAGCCCGCCACGGGACACATAAAATGGCACGGAACCCATGGGGTGCCAAACAGGCGACGGTGTATTATCCACCCAGGCCTGCCCCGGAACACAGACAAATGAACGGCACAGCGTCCGGGGACTGCCACAGAACAGGCGACGGCACGGAACCCAGACCCTTCTCACAGAAATCACCAGGCAAGTCCCGAGAGACTAGAGCTGCCACAGAACAGAGGCAAAGGCGTGGAACCTGAGGCCTGTCACAGAATGCCATGGAAGGGGGCGGCGAGTCCACCCCGCTTGGGCCATGCCACACAGCACAGGTGAGGCCAGTCAGCCGTGGCCATGCCCGGCCCGCCTCTGCTGGCGTGTACTAACGTGGCACCACTCTCTTGGCCTGGTGGACGATGGGCACGGAGGGGGCGGGCGGCGGCGGCAGGGGCTCTGAGTGGCGGAGAGAGAACCGGGTGGGGGAGTCACTGCCTGAGAGCCTGGTGTGCAGGTGCGCCTGTAAACATGCCCTTCCACCCACAAGGTCCGCTCGCTTCCCCCTCAACCCTTCCACCGTGGCACCTGTCTGGTATCCTTCACGGTGGCCTCCTGACCATCCTCAGGGGCAGGGGCTGGACAGAGGAACTCTCGGGAGCCCCACCCCTGGGCTCTTCCTTCTGTCCACTTTAAGCCTTCAGAAGGCTCCCCCTGACCCCATCCCGACCCACCCTCATCCCCCTGGTTGTAGTGCTTCATTTCCCGTAAGTCCTCAGGCTTGGTAGCAACACTCTGCATCCTGGTCTTTGGCGAGGGGGGTCATGGGGGTGGGTGAAGGGCCTTTACCTTCTGCCACGTGGACGGGGAAAGGACTGCGGGTGATGGGGGCTCCAGCGAAGGCCACATGAACCGTGTGGGGTCCCTCCATCACAGGCCTGTATGTACAGCGGAACGTGCTGTCGCCCTTGTCCTCCAGAGCCACCTCCACGGTGTCCCGCCGGCCCTGCGGGTCCACGATTACCACGGCAACGTCCCCAGTGCCGGCCCCTGTCATGACAACGGCTGTCAGTCCCTCCTGCTCGGGCTCTCTCACCCCGAGACCACAGCCTCCTGGCTGGGCCCAGCCCCCAGCCCCCAGGTACTGCCCCCGCCCCCCGACAAACAGTCATGGGGTGTCCCTCCTGCTCAGGGCTCCCTCACCCTGAGACCATGGCCCTCTGGCCAGGCCCTGCCCACGGCCCCCAGGTTCCCCCACCATGAACAGTCATGGGGTGTCTGGTGGAAGGGCCCATCCCCACCTGCAGTGTAGATGTCAAAGTACGTGGGTTTGTTGGCCACATTGCCCACGGGTTCCAGGCCAGGACCACGGGCTGACACCTTGTTAGCATCTCCCAGGGCCATGCCCACGTTCACCTCAAAGGGGCTGCGTTCGATGTTCTGACCAGCAAAGAGCACGGTCACCTGGAGGTCAAAGGCCAAAGGTGAGCTTCTAGAGGAGAGCAGCTCTGGGAGGGGGGTTGAGGGGCGGGGCAGAGCCAAGCAGGGTGGGAGGCAGGTGGGGCTGGTGCATGGGGGTGGGGCAGGGTGCGAGCTGAGAGAGGGGCCCATTCAGCCAGATGCAAGGATGTGAATGGAGTGGGGAAGACATGGGAGGGTCTACAGGGGGATACCTTGTGCAAGCCGGCAACCTTGGGCACATAGGAGACAGCATAGGTGCGGTTCTTGTCATTGTTGGGAACCACCTTGGCCTATGGGAAGAGAAATGATTGGCCATCAGAGCTCCTCCTGACCCCACGCTTCCTGTAACCGCCATGGTGAGGCCTCCCCCTTCTCCAGCATTGGAAAGTGGCCCCAGCAGCCATCTCCAGCCCATTCCGCTGTTGGTCTGTGCTCTTGTCTGATCCCCAGTGGCCTCCCCATACCTCCTCGGTGTGGCCCTCAGGATCCTCGATGTAGACCAGAACTTCGCCCATGCCAGCATCCACTGTCTGCACAGTGAAATGGGCAGGCTGCAGCACAGTGTTACCCTGGGGCTCGATCCCTGAGGGTGGAAGGCAGAGCCAGAGTTTAGGGAGAACCATCCCAACCAATGTCCAGCTGCCCAGCGAAGACCGTCAGGGCTCAACACATACCAGGCCCGTAGGCGATGGCCTTCTTGGGGTTCAGTTGCTTGGAGCGAACAGGGGCACCAGGTTTGAGTTTGGCCTTGGGGAACTGGGATAGGTAGGTCATGACCGAATGTTCATCCACGTTGGGGTCCACGATCTCCTCAGGGGCAATCACCTGCCAGGGAGGAAGGAGTCAGAAAGTGTCCTCCATCCCCAGCATCCTGCCCTGGGAGCCTCACAGACCCAACCCCATGGCTGGCCCTCTCCGGGTCTCTTTGCTCTCCGCCTACCTGGGGCACCCCGAGCCAGTCGTCCGCCTGCTGCATGGCCTCCCGGGCGTTCTCCACAGGCTGGTTGGGGTCCCAGGCCTCCCAGTCAGGGCAAAGGCCTGGAGAGATGGTGGAGGGAAGTGATGACGAGGGGAAGCGGTCAGCCAGGACACAGAGCACTTGCTCCACCAACACCCTCCCAGGCCATGGGTTTACACTCCCTTCCCACACAGTCCCAGGCCCCTGACCAGCCAGGTTCCTGCTGAACTTACAGCCCGTCAGCTGGGATGCCCATCGCTGTTTAGACGCACCACAGCCCTCCCGAGCACCAACAATGAGGCCTTTCTGCCCCAGCTGACGCAGCCTGGCACCAGTCCGGCCAGCCGGCCTCCAGCCTGCCCAGGCCCCAGCACCAACCCTGAACACTAAATCGCAGGGGAGCGCACCCCTCGCGGACCTCCCGCCTCATCCCAGCTGCCTCAGGGGTGGGCAGTCCCCGTCCCACGAGTGCCTCTGACCCATCTCCTGGGAGGTCTCCTCACAGCTGCCCCGAAGCCCTAGGTGTCCATGTACTTTTCCCGTATCAGCCTCGGAGCATAAGACTCTCTCTGCTTCCTAACTTCTGCCTCGGGGAAATGGAGGCACTGAAGGGCTTGTTTGAGAGGCCGAGTTCTCTCTGGCCACCCAGAACTCAGGCCTTCTGATGGGAGGACTGCTGAGGTAGCCGCAAGTCACTCCTGGGAAGGGGTGCAGGGGTTAGGGGGTGATTGGTCCAAGCCAGAGCTGGAGGAGAAGGGTGATGCTCCCTGGAGGGGAGGGGACCAGCTCAAAGGCTGGAATCCATGACTGGCCAGAACAGCTGAGCTCACTGCTGGCAGCCGAGCCAGCCATGGGCAATGGCTCAGCAGCTGGGAATGCTTCCCAGGCGGCTGGTGCCCCCGCCTCCCACCCCTTGCTCCCCAGCTGACCCCAGGCTGAGGGAGGATTCCCCCAGGGGGACATGGCTCCAAGAGGTAGGGAGACGACAGATCGTTTCAGGAGATGAGGGTCAGAAAGGGAGCTGTACGTGGGGTACCGTCCTCGTCTGTGACATCTAAGTCTCATGGGCCCTCAGTGGCCCCCACCTGCCCAGGCCAGGCCTGGGTCTCCTGCGGCTGGGGCAGCGTCACACCAGCCTCAGACCACATCATCCTGGGCCTCAACCCCTTCTCAAAGCTATCCCAGGGGCTTGCAAAGAACAGCCTTCTCCTGGCCTAAAGTCCTGGCCTTTTCTCTACAAGTCCCACCACATTTTCTTTCTGCTGGCTGAGCAGAAATGACCCCTATGTAGCAAAATAGGAAGTTCATGGAGCAGGGAGTTCCAGGTCCTGGCCAACCTCTGATTCAGTTCTGCCACAAATAAGCTGTGTGGCCTCAGAAAAGTCACTGGCCTTCTCTGGACCTCAATGTCCTTGCCACTGCAGGATCTGGCAACTCATCGGGAAGGGTCTAACTCCAGCAGTGATTCTCAGCTGCAGCAGGAGGCCCTGATTCCCCCAGCCCTGGGACACACATTCTGACAAACACAAGCCTCGGCATCACCAGCTCACCCTGCACCCCTTCCTGGCTCGGGGAGCCACAGTGTGCCACGGGTCCACTCACCAGGGGCACAGTTGTCCACCAGAGCGCCCAGAGCTTTGCCGTCCTGCCAGTCGCGGTTGAAGTTGGTGATGGGCAGCTGGGGCACCTTGTTCTGGATCCAGCCGAGTAGACGCTGCTTGGGTGTCTGCTTGCGGGCATCCTCGTCGTCCTCGTCCTCCCACATGGGCATGGAGATGGAATAGTGCAGGATCAGGGTCCAGATGAGCCCCAGGATCAGCTTCAGGTTCCCATCCACGATGGCCTTGCTGTCTGCAAGGAGGAGGGGACAAGCAGGGCTCATGAGAGCCCTACTTCTGATGCAGCGCCCTCCCTCTCCTGGCCCAGCTTCTGAGGCTGCTGCTTGAGTGTTGGGTCTGGGCGACTCCTCCTGGAACCTACCACTTCCCTGCCTACCACATTCTGCATCCCATGAGGCCCAGCCCTCGATGTATCTCCCACCCCCCTCAGAACAAGGCTATGTCCCAATATGTCGCTTGGGCAGGTACTTTCAACTCTTTGACAGCACTTGCGTAGGCCTCCTATCAGGCTACAAGCATCTATACAGTTATGCAAGATTGTAAATCTCTAGGGGCAGACACTGTTTTGTTTTGTTTCCTTTCTTGTTTGCTTGATGTACAACAAACTGTACATATTAGAAAGTACAACTGGATACGTTTTGACAATATGTGAAAAGTGAAAGCGTTAGTCGCTCAGCCTTGTCCAACTCTTTGCGACCCCATGGACCGTAGCCCACCAGGCTCCTTGTCCATGGATTCTCCAGGCAAGGATACTGGAGTGGGTTGCCATTCCCTTTTCCAGGGTATCTTACCAACCCAGGGATTGAACCTGGTTCTCCTGAACTACAGGCTTTACCATCTGAGCCACCATGGAAGCCCTACCTTTGATGATATGTGCATAACCACGAATCAAGATAGTAAACACATCCACCCTTCCTCAAAGTTTCCTTTCTTTTGGGAACCATCACTCCTGCCCCTTCTAGTCTATCCTTCGAGACAACAACCAATTTGCTCTTGGTCACTATACATTAGTTCGCATTTTCTAGGATTTTATACGAATAGAATCATAGAGTATGTATCTTTTTTGTCTGCCTTCTTTCACTCTAGATACTATATTTTTCTCTCCATATGTTCAGAGCCTAGAACTTAGTAAAATCTCAATAAATACTGGTTCAATGAACATTTTAAAAAGTGAAGTTGGAGAGGAGTGGGACCAACCTGGTTCCAGCCAAATTCTCCTTTGAATACTATAAAAGGCTTTTGGAACAAAGTTCTGGGAGGAGGAGGGGTTGGGGACAGTACACGTTCTGTTAATGGCAGGGACCAGTGAGATTTCACAAGAGCTGGGGGAGTGTTACCCATGTGGACTCAAGTCTCAGGAGCTGAGACTCTAGACCCATCCTCTCCCTTGATAAATATTATGGACCAGAACTCCAAGATTGGAGGGCGGGGGAGGCCTAGTTCCCCTGTAACAGCCAGAGAGAAAGATCCAGGAGCCGGAGGTGGCCTAGAGTATAGGTTATTGGAAACCAGCTTACTTGTGAAGGGCAAGGCAGGCCTGAAATCCACCAGCTTCCCTGAGCACTGCTTTCAGGAGGTTGGGAGTGGGTGAAAGACTCAGCCTTGTTTACTGGTGTTACCCGAGAGATGGGAAAGGGTGGGGTTGGAGGTGCCCCCTTACATATCTTTTCCTGCCCCGCCCCCCCCTAGATCTTGGGAGACAGCATTTAGAGAGTAAAGATCCCAAAGCTGTCTCCCCTTACATATCTTTTCCAGAATGCCCCCCCCACCCCACACCCTGTCCCCAGCATTTCCCCAACCTGCCCCCTGGAGGGGAATCTCAGTCTCTCTGTCCCTCTAGTCTTGGGCTCTGGTCCCCTTGGCTCCCCCACCCTTTCACTGATTCATCCTTCCTTCCCCAGCAGCTCCCCAGGCCCGCCCCCTCTCCCCCTGGCTCTGCTGCAGCACAATGGTTTGGCAGCTTGCAGATTCCATGACACACTCACTCCCAGCCTCCCGGTGCTTTGGTGCAGTCTCTCTCACACACACACAGGCCCAGGACATTTTCACACAGCCTTGACACCAGGGCCTTACGGCCTCTCACAACCCTGACAGCCTCCAAAGCTGGTGCTCACACACCCAGAAGTGCTTCTTGCAAACTGAAGCCAGATCCTAGGGAGGGAGGCCCTGAGGCCGCCAGGATCGCCAGGATTGGGAAGGGGTGGGGGGAATGAGGGGGGTCATTCATATTTGCTGCAGGGAGAGGTTCCTGCCCAGCAACTGGCCCTGGGCCAGACAGCAAGTGGCAGGAGAGGGGTGGGTCCGGAGTCCCACTCTGGGAGCAATGACCTTCCTCACCCTCCTCCCCCTCGGAGGCCAGGAAGAGGAGGGGAGCTCTGCTGGAGCCAGGCCTCTTCCTTCGTCGCACCCCACTGGGGATACCACCAAAGGGGTGGGAGGAGCTCCAGAGCCAGCCCCTGAGGACACCCCAGGCCTTGTGTGGAGTGGGGGGAGAGGAGAGGACCAGTGAGGGAGGGGCTGGGACAGCTGCTGCCCCCTGCAGCCCCTCCCTCAGCGGTTGGCTCCAGGAGAAGGAATAGCAACTGGGGAACAGCTGCGGGACAGAGCGGCCTCTAGGCCTCTTTGTTCGGAGGGGTGGAGGGGGTGCGGGTAAGGAGGGCACACCGCCCCTTCAACCCAGGCTGTGTACCCTGCCCTCCTTCAGAGGGACTGCTCAACACCCAGCTCCCACTCCACTCCTGGAAAGGGACATGAGGTGCCTAGAGGCTCACATTCAGTCCTGAGATGGTACCCAGAGAAGCCCCCGTCCCAGCCCCTTCCCACCACTAAGTGGGACCCAGGGAACCAGAGGAAGCAGAAAGGGGAACCCCTGACACCTCCTTCCCGATGGATGGGTAACCACTGCTGTCTGTGCCCCCTCCCCTCCAGCCTCCGCCTCGGGCCCAGCAGCTGAATTGCTGACAGCTTATCTCATCGGCCTCGGGAGTCAGCCACTTGGCCCAAATGGGGAACAGTTCCCCGCAGGAACGGGAAAGAAGGGTTCCTTCCCGCCCCCAAGCCAGCTTTCCCTCCTTCCCCCTCTATTCGGAGCTGGCCTCTCCAAACACAGTTGAGCCAAGGGGGCTGGAGCCGGAGGCACCACCGTGGGGGAGGGGAGAGGTGTGCGCTCAGGAAGGATGAGGCCAGCAGAGGGGCCGAGCGCCCCCGCTACGGGGAGGGGAGGAGGAGGTCGAGCCATTTCCTATGAAGTCTTGGTGAGGCCCCAGGCTCTCCCCTCGGGATCCCACCTGGGACAGTCAGTCCAGGCGGTCAGATCGCAGCTGCCAGGGGGGTGGAAGGGCCCAGGGCTGACACCTCGCTGACCCCTGCCGTCCCCCCCTCAACCACACACTCTCGGGCAGCCCTTAGTCCCACGACACACACCAGGGTGGCCCCCTCCCCCACCCCCTGTCCTCAGCCTCGTCCTCTGGAAAGCTCAGAGACATCTGCTGTGTCACGGAGGCAGGGCTATTTCCAGGCCAGAGGGGGTGGGGTGGGGGGGGGACAGTATTGGGCAGGAGGGGGTAAGGCGTAGAGGGGACTGGACAGGGCCAAAGGGCCCCAGACTGACCTCAGCTACTAATTCAGGAGGCCCAGAGATGCCCTGAGCGAGGCTGAGGATAGACAGACCTTCAATTATCTGAAGAAATCTCTGGGGCAGCCTGGGGGTGGGCATTGGGCCCCCTGTGAAAGTCCCCTTCTGGGGCCCTGGGGTGCACTCCGTTAAGGGGCACTTTCCTGAAAATCACAGCAGGACACTTAAGAGCTCACCATAGGGGTAGAGGTCTCGCCCAGACCCCCAGCCTCTAGGGGTGACTGCAGAGCTGAGAGGGAACGGCCAACTCCCAGGCTCTCAGAACCCATCCTTGGCTCCCCCAGCTCCCCAGCCTGGAGTGCCTCCCCACCCCCACCCAGCACTGACACACCTTCCAAATCTGGTTACACTCAATGACTTCCTCCCTTTTCCAGGCCTTGCCTCCCTCCCCTCAGCCCAGATCATTAGCTGTAGCCAATCCGGGCTTAGGGGGTGGGCTGGGGCCGGGAGTAGATGGGAGGGAGCCCCCTCCCTGGCCTGCTGAAGTCGACGTAGGACAGGCAGGGGTTAAGGCTGCCTGCGCTCGCTCAGAGCCTTTTTAGGTTTCCGAGGCAGGGCCCTGCCGGCTCTGGCCCCTGGGCCTGAACCCAGCTGCCGAGCACATGCCGGCGGGGGGCCCGGGCCCCGTGCCCGCCCAGCCACCCACTCTCCCGCTCTCCTTGGGATCCCTGGGACCGGGCAGCGATGGGGACCTGCCTTCAGCCTCTCCTCCCCGGTGGAGGTGCTGGGAGGCTGGGAAACCATTTGCTTTGTCTGGGGGCGGGGGTGGGTGGGGGTGGGACGCCCCCCCCCCCCCGGGAATCGGCAATGAGCATTGGCCCCGTCCTCTCAAGCCTGGGCTGGGGGTGCGGGTGGCAAGAAAGGAGACGAGCGGGTAGAAGCAGGTTGGCCAAGAGCGTGCGAAGGGACCTGAAGCTGGAGGGCTCAGAAACGGCCGGGACTAGATGCCCCCCGGGAGGCCCCCTCGGGATGCCAGCAGACCAGAGCCGGGTGTGAAGGCAGGGCCCCCTCGGGGCCGGCGTGGGTGGGCTCCGGGAGAACCGGGTCAGGATCCTCTCCCGGTGCCGGGCACCCCACCCTCGGCCCTGCCTCGGCTCCCCGCGCACCCACCCAGCCCCGAGCACCCTGTCCCCGTGGGTCAGCCCCTCGTCGGGGCACTGCCCCCTCGCCGCCCGCACTGACCGATGGACACCAGCTTGATGTGCTCGCGCTCGAGGAACTCGAGGGCCACGGACACGTTCTCCAGCTTCATCTGGCGGAAGTTGGGGCGCGGGTGGAACTTGCGGTACATGCGCTTTTGGCTGAGCACCTCGAGCAGCGCGATGAGGCGCAGCCCGTCGCTGAGGTCGCGCTGCAGGTCGGTGAGGCGCTTGCCCACGCACTTGAGGTGCTCGTTGCACCAGCGCGTGAACGTGTTCTGCTGGATCTTCTTCCACGGCGCGTCCTCGGCCAGGTCCTTCTCCGTGGATGGCATGTCGTCCACCTCGTCGCCCAGGCCGAAGCCCGGGGCCTCGGAGTAGCCGCTGTTGTTCATCATGCTGGCGCGGGCTGGGGCGGGGGTTGGGGGCCGGCGGGGCTCGGGCTAGGGGGGCGCTGTCCGGGACGGGACCCGCGGCTGTGCGCTCCGCGGCTCTGAACTTTCTCTCGCGCCCCTGGCTGGCGGGACTCGGGCGGGCCTCCTCGGCTCCTCGGCCACGCTCTGTCTCTCTCTCTCTCTCTCCCTCCGGGGGCGGAGCGGTGCTCTGGAAAGTGCGGGCCGGGCTGAGGCGGGGGGTTTAAGAAGCCCCCGGGCCTCGGCCCCCCCGCCGAGCCCGCGGCCCCCGGGTCCACGTCAGAGCGCCGGCCTCCCAGGAATGCCGCCCGGCCCGCGGGTGGGGGCCGCGCAGAGCCCGCCGGCCCCGCCTCCCTCCCTCCCTCCCTCCCCTCCCCCACGCGGCCCTCCGTCCAAACTGGGGTCCCAGGTCTGCTGCCCTCACCCCGGGGGAAGGAGGCTCTGGCCCGAGGCCGCCAAGCTGGACAGATGAATAGTGGAGCTGGAAAATTAGGGGGAGTGACAGGTCCCAACACCCCCAAATTAAGCATCGCTAGTCAGAGATGAAATATATACCCCCCACACCCTGCAGGACTAAAGAGATGCAAAGGGAAACTGAGGCCAGTGTTTCGGGCAAAACACGCTGATCGGGTGTTGACAGAATTTTCTGGACTGCCTGGTGGCAGGGCTGTTGACAGGGCCGGGGAGACCTGGCTGCTAGCCCAGGGTATTGTCCACCTGCGGACCGGCAGGGGAAGTGTGTGTGCTTGTGTGTAGATAGACTGAGAGGAAGCGACAACTCCGCGCAGGCCGATTAGGGAGAAGGCCTGGGGTGGGGGTGCTCCACTTTACAGGTAGAAAAGTCTCCTCTGCAAGCATTAAAAAAAAAAAAAAAACCCTCTGTAACTCCAGGGTCCCAGGGGAAAGACGGAGGTTACCCCTGATTCAGTCCCTGTCACCAGTCCGTCTGCCCTCATCCTCTCAGAATGAAGCTGAGCTCAGAAAAAGTGTACCCTGTGACTCACACTGTGCCCCCTCCCCCCAAGTCTGACTCAACTAAGGTGATGTGAGAGGAGGCAGAGCCTCTGCCCTGTACTACCAGGGAGCCCCCTGGGCAGTGTGCCCATTTGGGCCACTGGGCAGATCCTTCCAGTCAGAGGGCAGGTTAACCAGACAAGAGACAGAGAGCCCTGCCCAGAGCAGCCACGGGGAAGTGTGATGGGGGCTGGGGGACACGGAGAGCCCTAGGCAGCCCGCCAGGAAGCCTGGGCAGGACGGGGCTCAGGGTAAGCCAAGGGCAGCTGACATCAGGGAAACTGAGGCACTCAGAGCAGCTGGCCTGGGATGAAGTGAAAAAGTGGTAGAATATACTTACATAAAGAGACTATGTATTCTGAGATTCTGTAGGATAACATGTACTCCACACCTCCTGGTACCCCTTTTAGGCCAAATTTCCTCCACTTTCCCATCCTTCTGGACCCTTAAGTTTGGGCCCGAACTCAAATTGTGTGATGACTGAAATTGGGCACGTTTCTGGTGAATCATTTGACCTTATTGCTCTTCCCCAACCAAGCCCAGTTAAAAGGGAAGAGATGGTGGGCATCTCTGAGGGCATTGTGAGGGAAGAAGTTCAGGAGCTTGGTAGGGGGGGGCAGCAATAACAGTGAAAGGGCTCCATGAATGATTTCTTTCCCTTCTCATCAGTTAGGGAGGGGGAGGAGGAGAGAAGGGACCAGAAACAGAAAAGGGACCTGCTGTGCGTGACTTCGGAGCGGGGGAGCTCTGGGGGCCCTGAGAGTGACAGGCGAGATATAAATAGCTTGGGCCCCGCGGCTCATGTTCTGTCGGCTGCCTGTGACGAGGTGCTCAGGAATTCCACTCTCCTGTTGGCACCCCCTTGCCTGTCTCCAGAACTCTCACTCCCCCCATGCCACCTTTGTCCCATGGCCAAGACCAGCCATCAGCCATCAGTGCTGTCTGTCTGCTTGAGAGGCTGAGCTCTCTTGTGGAGAGATGCCCAGCTCCTGGGGACACATGACATGTAGCTGGGTCTCACAAGGGAACTCTGTGTGTGTGTGTGTGTGTGTGTGTGTGTGTAAAGGCAGACTTCTGACACCCAAACTTAGGTGCCAGTTTGGGGTTCAATGATGAAGAAACTGAGATATATACATCTGGAAAAGGATGGATCCCTCTCCCTGAGCGCCTAGGGAGAAGAGAGAGGGATAGAGCGGTTTTGCTTGGAGCTGACAGCCTTTTACAAACACTAAAGGCTCAGTCTTGTTTTGAGGATGTTCCCCAAGGTCCTCCAGTAAGTTGAGGTTCTCTCTTAAGGTGGTGGGAGTTCAGAGGGAAGCCAGCAAGTGGACAAAAGACTCCCCTCTCCCGCTTCTTGTTCCCTCTCTTCAGGAGAAGTCTGTGTGCAGCCCCAGGGGAGTGAGTGAATGGTCAGCAGAGGGTGCCCGGTGCCAAGGATAGTTCCCGGCACCCTTCTCACACCTCCCCTCCCCACCCCCACCCCAGAAACCAGAGCCCGTTGCTCTCCAGGATAAATCAGGGCCTGACTCAGGCCCCAGCCAGCCAGTCACAGTCAGCTACCCAGGCGCAGGTTGGTGACTCAGCCCTCAATATAGCCCATGAGCCTGGGCCGGGCCGTGAGAGCTGGAACAGGCCGTGCACAATGCTGGTCCTGGGGCTTGCCAAGCGGGGGGCCCCTCCCGGAGGAGAGCTGATATGCTCCTCTCAGAGCCAGGCAGGGGCTCCTGGAGGGGCTTATGGGGGCTTTCATCAGCTGAGTATTTGGGGGCTTTGCTGCTGTGGCTACAGACTGTTTATAGCCCCCTGACTCACCACCCGCTGACCTGTCTCTGGAGACCAGGTTTGGCCTTTCACCTGGCCCTGCCTTTCCTACCAAGGGGCACTACTTCTCTGCCACCAACGCTGCCCATATTTAACTTGAGCTGAGAAGCATCTGAGTGAGCGAGTCCTTGTCTGAAAGGCTGTGTATGAAGATCCTGTGTTTCCATAGTCACCTGTGATGGCACCAAGTTGGCCAGGCTCCCAGCAGGCACTTTGTTCAGTCTGTGATACTGACATGGCCCTGGCCCAGGTATGGTAGGGTTGGGAAGATACCTAGGCTGAATTCCAGCCTCTTTACCTCTGGTTCTATAGCCGTGATCAGGAAATGTAACTCTTTGGGGCCTCAGTTTTCTTATCTGCAAAATGGAATTAATAGTACTCTCACAGGGATTTTTTTTTTTTTAATGGGTGAAGATGTGAAAGTAGATAACAGGTAAAGTGATTAGCATGGTGCTGGGCAGTTAATAGGTGATCAGAAAAAAGTTTGCATACTCTGCTGGTATCCTGGGGACCATGTGGGTTCTAGTGAGCTGGGCCCTCCTCACAGCTACCTCTGCCCCGTGTGGCATCCACTGCCAGCATCTTCCTCGGCTCCACTGTTCCCTTCCTTGCATCCTAACACTCCACCTGCCAGAACCAGAGCCAGAGTACTACTTACAATCTTTAGAGCCACACACCCTGCCCCCCAGTAGCAGCTGGTCGTGGACAGAGGTGGCAGGTGGTGTGCCTACCATGTGGCCTGGGAAGGGAAAGCAGAGGGGGACCGTGGTGCAGGGAGAGAGATAGGCAGCAGTTATGCAGAGGGCAGTAGAGGGGGAAGATGGAGGCCCCAGAGGTGTTTTGAGTCCTTGGTTCTATCTGTACCTGGGCCGGGGTGCGTGCCTGACTGTGACATCCCTGTAGATTTAAAGCTAATTCAAGGGACTGTTTCACATTCAACAGGTAGACCTATTTAATCTACTCTGGTAACAGTGCACCTGCAAGACCAGAAAGCACAGAGCCCAAATCAACGAAGAGCACAGTCTTCCAAGATGAGCCCACAGGGACAAGTGTCCTAAAGGGAAGAGCTCTATATTTCTAAGCAAAAAGACTGAAGAAAAGGACTACTTCCCTGTCATTGCAGGCTCTGGGTTTGGGCCTGGAAAGGATCAGATAAAAGTCCTTAACAGGGGCCGACTGCCTCCCAGACCATAACCTCCATCTTGGCTTCAAATTCGAAATTAAAGCAATGATACTCAGTGGTGGGTAATCTTCCAGTCCTTTCTACCACACATGTTCTCCAGCCAACTGGTGGCTGGACTAAACTGGATAAAAAGCACAGTCTCAACAGCAAGGGGACAGGGTAGCAGGCAGATTGTGAAGGAATGTCAATTGGGTTACAACTGAGAATACACAATCTGATATAGTTGAAGGCAGTGCTTCTCAAATTTTATTGTGCATACTAATCAACTGAGGATCTTGTTAAAATGTAGATTCTGTGTCTGGGCTTGAGCTGAGGGCTGAGATTCTACCTTCCTAACGAGTTAACAATGCTCATGCTGCTGCTCCATGGGCCACACGTTGAGTAGCAAGGGGCCAGTCCCCTCTAAATCCCTGTCTTCAAAGAGGAGTCATTTAGAGGGAGACCAAAGGGATCTGTGGCACTGCCTTCAATCTGCCTACTTGCAACCCTGTATATAGGGGCTGGTCACCACTTGGGCCCTGGCCCCAAGTCTCCTAGGGGTCCCAGTCAGCCTAGGCACCCCTCTGGGCTGCTCACAATTTTAAAATCTCCTAATTCTAAATGTCTTTGCTACTCCCCCAAGGAAAAGACTGTGGAAGAAATGAATTCATTTAGTGCTCAGTAGTGCCCACCCCAGTATATACTCGATAGTTACGTGCTGCTTTGGATATCTGGAGAAAAGAAACAAACTCCTTTGGTATCAGGTAGAAATGAGGCAAAGAGAAGAGTCCCAGGAAACCAGCAGTTATGGGGACCATTCTGCCCACTATGGTGTATGAATACATGTGGGGACTTTATTACTGATTTATGGTTGTGCTGGGTCTCTATTGTCGTGGGTGGGTTTTCTCTAGTGGGGGTGAGGGGTGCTGCTCTTCATTGTGGTGCACAGCCTTCTCGTTGTGGTGGCTTTTCTTGCTGCAGAGCGTGG